AAGCGACTTCAAGGAATCAACCATGACCTTGCCGTAGTGTTTGACATTGGTGAATATTTTTGCCAGAGAACTGTAAATGCAGTATGTCATTGTATAGAAATGTATATTTTTGAATAGAGAATATTATAATAAGAACAATGTTATGCAGGGGGAAAAAAAGGCAAACAGACTTCCTCATTATAGGCATTTTAAACATAGAGACACACTTTCTAAAATACCACATTTTTAATTGACTTTCATGGTGGTAAAAGACACACATTTCAAAACAAGTTGATGCTGATGCGCTTTGACGGTTCTGACCGAAATGTCTAATGAAGTTAATTTCTGTCAGAGTTTAGTTTGCTGTGTTACAGGCTCTGGTTTGGAAAGGGAAGGTCTTTTAAACCACATCACTTGATTCTTTAATGATTCGGTACGGGCGTCCCGCTAATGAAAACAAGACGCTGTGGATATATAGTTTAATCCAGTCAGCGTTACGCACAGTTTTGGTCCAATTCATTCTCACTGAGCACACAAATACCATCTTAGCTAGCGTCCAGGCGGTGTGTGTGTCACACACTAAACCACTGCAATTCAGCGCTGGAGAAGAACCAGGTCGCCTGATCCAGTGTTAGTTTAAGAGAGAGGAGAAAAGACGTCCTGTGCTTCCTTATCGGCTGATTTCAGACACAGATGGGAAGTTTAATCGACTATTTGAGCAATAATTTAAATGGAATCAATATAACAAGGCTGTCTTAAATCAAATAAATGTAACAAGACCTTCTATTTTGGAAAATGTATGTATATATAATTTATATGTATGTATATATTTCAGCAAATCAGCATATTAGAGTGATTTCTGAAGGATCATGTGACACTGAAGACTGGAGTAATGATGCTGAAAAAAATTCAGGTTTTCATTACAGGAATCACACATTTTTTATACATTAATATTGGCAAAAAATGTATATAGGCTAAAATAACCATTTTTTAATCAGAGGTCATGTGGCAACAATAGTGTTTAAAATCTTACTGTCCTAATGCATACTAAAAAATAGCATGCATAAATGTACTCGCATCAAAAATCTTATCTTACGAACCTATCATATTTTCTTTTGGTTTATTTTTTAATTCGAAATAAATGTTGTAGTCTTAAAGGGACAGTTCACCCCAAAAGGAAAATTCTGTCATCACTTACTCACCCTCAAGTTGTTCCAAGCCTTGATGGAGTTTCTTTTTTCTACCAAACACAAAAGAAGATATTTTGAAGAATGTTGGTATCCAGACAGTTTATGGACCCCATTGACTTCCATAGTATTGTTTACCAACATTCTTCAAATTATCTTCTTTTGTGTTTGGTAGAAAAAAGAAACTCCATCAAGGCTTGGAACAACTTGAGGGTGAGTAAGTGATGACAGAATTTTCCTTTTGGGGTGAACTGTCCCTTTAAGGAAGCCGTGGAATGATGACGAGGGTAGTTTTACCTGCGGGGCAGCGGCGGCTGTAGTGGTCATGGAAGCGGATGGCAGACGCAGGCTTAATAAAACCTACAATCACATTCCTGGATGATCTATGAGCTCCACCTACTGAGACCAGATCAAAGAGCTTCATCACAGAGGAAGGAGCCAAAGATCAGGAGAAAGAAAGACAGAGAGAATTAGAGGGAAAGCTTTTCTTCCTGTGCTGAGATCATAGTGGAGATATTCAATGATAAAAAAAATCAAAAAAACTACGGCTATAACCTGCAAGTGCACAAATACTTAACCAGCAAATCGCAAGTGTGCGGAGGCGATAGAGTTACCTTCAAATGTCCAGGTAGCTAAATATAAACATGCTGACTTTAGCACACTCTTAAGTGTCAAGACTGTTGAAAAGTTAATCACACTTTGGTAACAGTGATAAATTAGCACTCATAACAGATCCACTGACCCAACAGCGTTATGTCTCGCTGATGTGTGTGTGTGCGCGCCCTTGGCTTCGTTTCAGACTAAGGGTAACCCAGCCAAATTATAGGTGATTTATTAGACGTGTTATTTTTGGACGTCTACCTGCTGTCTGAGACTAAAGCTCCTCCCTTCCCTCCTCCTCACTCATTCAGTCTTCAGTGTGTCCATGCATGCAGTGCAGATGAATCATTTATGACCATATTGGAAAGGAAAACTAAATATAATACCCAGCTATAGCACAGCTTTATTGTAAAACGTTTTTTTTTTTTTTAAGTTGGGAAAAGGTTGTGATAAAAGATTTTCATCCTACATACTTATTAATATGACTGATATTGTTTTAAAAGTATTTTCATAACTTTGCAGAAACATTGCTTTGGTGTTGTTAGAACATTCCTTTTGAATGTTTTATAAAGCACATTATCACATCCAACCTCGTCCTACAGCATCACCAACATATTTTTGCCACGTTCTTTAAAAAATAAAGTGTTTATCAATGTATTTTAGAGATATAAAAAGGGAACATTGTGTTTTTATTTTTAAAAAATATAACTTTTATATTGATATATTGAGGCAGAAAACCTTTCAGATTTGAAAACTTTTATCATAGCATTTCCAAACTGTTTTATTTTACTTGCACACTAATGTTCAAAGTGGGTTTTTGTTTGTAAGAAATATAATTATTGTATTCAGCAAGAACACATTCAATTGATCAGAAGTGTCAGTAAAGACATTTATAAGTTTACAAAAAAAGAAATCAAATAAATGCTGTTCTTCTGAACTTTCTATTCATCAAAGAATCTCGGGAAAAAAAGGATGACAGTTTCCACAAAAATATGAAGCTGTACATCGGTATATATTAACACTATTAATAATAATCAGAAGTGTTTCTTGAGCATCAGCATATTAGAGTGATTTCTGAAGGATCATGTGACACTGAAGACTGGAGTAATGATGCTGAAAATTCAGCTTTGATCACAGGAATAAATTACACTTTAAAATATATTCACATAGAAAAGAGTTATTTTAAATTGCAATAATATTTCACAATTTTGCTGATTTTTCTGATCAAATAAATCCCACTTTGGTGAGCATATTGTGACTTTTTTTATGGTGTGGTTTATAGAATGTTTTCAACATTACTCTGCAGTGTAACCTGTCTGCAACCAAAATGCAATGTTGTGAAGTGCTGTAAAAGTGTTTTATGCTAATGCACGGAATTTTTAACTACTATAAACACACATCCACCTCTCTTGTCTCAGGTGTTAACAGCTTTGTGTGTTTAAACACTGTTCTTGTGGTCTCACTCCAGCATTTGGTCATGATGGCGCCAAGGTCAGCAGAGGCTGAGAGTGGGTCGGATTAGAGGAGATTAAGATGGAGGCGGGTCTCTCTCTCTCTCTCTCTCTCTCTCTCTCTCTCTCTCTCTCTCGGTTGCTCCCTGCGTCTATAATTGTTTTTGTAATCAACACAGAATAAGTGTCCTTGTCTTTCTGAGACATGTCTCAAAGCCTTGCAAATGACATCTCCTCTTATTTCGTCAGCAATACTTATGCAAATGAGAACCTCTAAAGGGAAATGTCATTGCTCAAAGGTTGAAAAAAAATCTTATTTAAGTTTTTACTTTGTCTCAGATGTTTTTTCTAAAATTAAATTTGTTTAGGCATAATTGAATAGAGCTATACAGTTCATTTGGATTGTGTAGCTTTGTTTAATGATTACTTTATATTCAATCTCTGGCTTTCTATTGCAGACTATGGTCATTTGAGACATTGTTTAGATGTATTCTGGCACTCAAAAGGACACATGTGAGATTAGTGCCCAAGGGAAGCAGGAAATAGTCTCCATTTGCTCTCGATTTAAGCCCACTGGTGTATGAGAAACAATTGAGACACTAAGGAGATGTTATTTGAGTTTTTTCCCTCTGTAATGGGCCAGGTTAAAGAGCTGATCTTTAGTTTACCATCTGACTCTTCTACACCACCATGACACAGTAGTGATTAGTGTACCAGCTAACATAACACACACACACCCACACACACACACACACACATAGACAGACACATATGCAAGTCTGTTAGTACACTAGCCACAACTCACAGTAAAGACAACCTATTTACTGTGGTAACTGAGCCATTTCAACTTTGTGTCTGAAAACAATAGGTTGTAAATTGCATACTGGTTTCTTCAGAGCGGTAAGAGGATCTTAGTGCACAAGTCCTTGTTTTATGGGTCGTTTAATTGTAGCCTCATTGACAGTATTGGACTATTTGTCAATAGACAGGATGCAGCTATTATACTGAGTCTAGTGCCCAAGAAAAGGTTACAGATCTAATTGTTTTATGTAGGGAATATGTTTTGGATGGGGTTACCCTGATGAAGTATTGGTGTCCCCAGTCATCTAAACAAACTTACTATGGTCTTCCAGCTTCACTAGCAAAGAGCAATGGAAGTCTATGGAAGCCTGAAATTACTGCGCTACTAAATAAATCACAAGACTGATGGCTTCCCAGGTTTCCCAAACACCTCTGTCTACAATTATCTGGACAAACCGGTAATACCGCCCTCAAACTTACAACTTTGGTTGAGCCAGAAATGGACATGTCAGACCGTCCAGTCAAACAGAAAGTTTTGAAAGGGCACCGTGTTTTCATGCTTAAATGTCAGCTTAGTTATTATTGTTTCTGCGCATTAAACTTCTTTGATATTGATTTTTAAGTTGCCTTGAATTGCTGATTAGTGTGAATCGATCATGCATGCAGGAGTCTGTGCAACTAGCAGCATTAACTGGCCAGAGTCCCACCAGGAGTGGTGTGGATTAGTGACCCTGTGCTTCCTTCCTTTGGACTGCTCAGTGAAGCATAACAGGATTACAGTGGCCCAAGTTGTGGCCGGACTGAACCATGTGCACCAGCAATAGGGGGTAGAAGATATCTAGGGTAAAAGGCTGGAGATTGGGGGGTTGCAGATGTTGCAGCAAAGCTGAGCTGAAAGTAGCCTGAGGTCTCAGTCAGTCAGAGAGAGAGAGAGAGAGAGAGAGAGGGAGAGAAAGAAGTGTGCTGTGATTCCATGGGGTGATGAACAAGCCCCAGGGGGCTGAAGCAGAAAAGCAAATGAAAACATTAGAAAAAACCAAGGCGGAAAATAGAGACACATTCATCCCTTGCTGACCATCTCGGCTGAGACACTCCACCACGGTAATGGCTCTCGGATGCTGCATGCCGCTGAGGTCTAAAGGTACGGTAGATGTCTCTTGTCATAGTGACATCTTGGATGCTACACTTTGTAGCTTTTTATGGCTGTCCAGTGATTTAGAGTTGACCATAACTCTCAAATTCCGTTTTGCAATCTTATCCCTGGATGTAATTTGATGTATAGCCTAGAAACTCAGACTTAAGTGAACTCATGTCATTTGAATGTTACTAAGTCTACTTTTGCATAATTTTTACAGTGTGAAATGTGCATTACTTCGCTTCTTTGGTGACCCAATGGACGTATTAACCGCGTTGTATGGTTGTGATGTTGTGTACCTGGAAGATTTGCCAGATTGACACACTATTTAGACTAAACCAAACTTTTGACTTGTGGTAATACCAAATGTGCTGTGACCTGTGGGGAGGGAAGGTGGTCTTCAGTGAGGCGTGGTGTCATTGGAACGAATGGCTAACATTTGGAGGGCTAGACTTTCCCACGTCAGAAGGTGTGTGTGTGTATGTGTGTGTGTGTGTGTGTGTGTGTTTGGATTGGGGAATGCCAGTGGTCGGGGTTTGGCTCAGGGTTCGTGTCTCAACCAGTGGCTGGTGATTAGAGGGTGATTGTAGACTGAAGATGGTGGGTTTGAGCTTGGGAAACAGGACAGCCTTAAAGTACATTCACACTGACAGCAGTTAAAATAGCTGGGGGTCACTATACTTTTTCTTGCAAGTAGTTTGTACTAGGGATGCATGATATATTGGTATGGCCAACACTGGATATTTAATTGTACATGCTTATTTCATCCATTTTTACATTTAGATTACCTTTGCCATAATCTAACACTCTCCTAAAGGCTTTAGGATAAAAAAAAAACTTTAGTAATTTAATAACACGGTTAAATGTAATCTTAAGCAAATTTCAAAATGAATATGCTTTTTTTCATACTTTGCATTATAATGTATATTTACTTGCATTTAAAATGATCATGCCACTCTTTGCATTCTCATTTGGAGTTACTTTATTGCATGGCATAATATATTTGCATAAAATTGGGCTCAATTTAGTTGCATTGCTGTCACTTTGTTGATGCAAACCACTGGCCCTTTACAAAGTTTAGATTCTGCACCCTTGATTTTTACAGTAAAAGAGCTCAGATGAAATCCAACACTGTAACTATGAAATGTTCAGACAGAATGTTCTGTTGTAGTTAAGGTATCAATTCAATTTGAATGTTTGAGGTTTTGGAATATCTGCAATGATTTGGCGCCAAGGCCTCCAACTTCGGCTTCGGCTTTCCAACTGTGGTGTTAAAAAATGCCATTTTACATGTTTAATCTACAGATAGCATTGATGATTGAAGAATAGCACTGACTTTGGAAAGATAGCAAAGAAAACAGGGAACAGGACCTGGAAAGGAAAAGGTTCAATGATAAAGTCTGTTCTGTTTCCCATCTCCACTTTTCATGCCAGAATAAGCCTGTTGGCTTATCTCGGATGATACAATCAGTAGACAAGCGGTCTCCACGAACCATCTCTATTGTTTTTGGGACTTGTTTTCTTCTGACATTGTGGAACAGAGGCATTGGAGATGGCCCGTTTTTACCACCTTTGAGATTTCTCTGATTTGTGTGGACGAGGGGGATTTCACCAAGAATTAATTGTGCCTGTTAATAGTGGTTTATTTGCACATTTTCGATTTTTGTTTAACGCTTGATTCCCTAAAATGAATTAATGGATTAGTTAATGTTCATCTCTATCATAGTTTTATGAATAACTGCTGCCATGATCACTAGATAATGTACAGAGAGGGACTCTTTTGAATTACCTTTGCACTGCTGTTTTCAAAAGTGTTGAAACCCCTGTTGTTTCTTTTTCTCAGTTTAGTGTGGAAACACTTTAGGGTGTTTATCAATTAGGTGCAACAGCTGCTGAAGAGACCCATGTAGACAAATGCCCTTCTCTCTCTGAGGTGTTCGGACTGTGGAGGGATAGAAAGAAAGAGTTGTTATTCCAGTTAGAGATCACTGCTGGGTTGCTCTTTACCCCATGCTGCTAAACAACTAAAAACCAAACAGCTCTATAAGGAAGAGATATCCCAGCCCCCCTTCCACACAACTACCCTGTCTTGAATCAACCGACTGACTGAGCTTGAGAAATGCTTGAGGATCTTGTAGGCTATTGCTTGCCTAAAAAAAAAAGAAGCAATTTCAGCACCTAAAGTCTTAGAATAAGAATCAATATGGCTTTGTCTTTTCAGAATGTGTAGGTTAAGAGGTATTGTGAGATCCCTACTGTTACTATAATGGTACTAATGGATTTCATACAAATGCTTCTGGGTCATATTCACCATTGTCATTAGTTTTTAATGCATTCAATAATGCACTTTATTATTTATGCAATGTCCCCATTTGACCCCACCCCTACCAAACATAACTAAATATTCTGTTTGTAGATTCTATTTTAGTTTAAAGGAATATTCACACCAAGTCTGTATTTTCACCACAAAAACATGCAAAACATGCATTTTGGGTTTTAATTTATTTTAAATATATATGGAATATAAAAATATTACATTATATATGATTACATATATAATTTTAAATATATATTATATTATTTTAAATATAAATATATAGTAATTTTAACTTTATAGAATCATTGTTTTAATTTGTATTCATTTAATGTATTTATTTCTTATTTATTAACTTTATTGAACCTCTATTTTATTTCTATTTATTAAATTTATCAAAAGGGCAGTCCCCTATTATCTAATGTGATAAATTCAACAATGTTTTTTGCAAATTAACTAATTTGTAAATAAAAATGTTTTTCTTTATAAAAAATTGTGCATGTCAGCATAAAAATTTAAATTGCAAATTTTGTCATGTCAAATTAGATTTATATATTATACTATATATATATATATATATATATATATATATATATATATATATATATATACTTTCTCAGAGATTGATGATCAATTGGCATGGCACCTAACTGTTTGTGTGAACGTTTTTTATGTTTAGTTGCATGGCGTGATTCTGTGGTTTTCATCTTGATTGCGAGTTGATGGACTGCGATGCTACATCCCCATGGTTGACTGGAGCCGTGTCTGTCTGAGTAAAGGGAACCGAGAAGGGCAAGAGTTCTGTCCTCAGCGGGGGTCACACTCGGAAACCCTACTTTAAACCTTCCTAATGCTTTCCACCACACTAAGGCTGTTTAAAATGCAGGCAAATCGGATTTTTTTTCCTCAAATCAGATCTTTTCAGGCAGACTGTCCGCACTATTAAAGGCAGGGAAGGTGATTTGTTCCAGAAACATTTTTTGTTATGCAGGCTAAAAGTCTCTTCACATCCTGATACCAATCACTAAGTTAAATGGTCTAAATGTATTTATATGTAAATGTATCGTCTACATTTATATATATTGTCCTACCTGCCTGTCAACATTGTGCGTTGTCACCAGTGAGTTAGACAGACGTCAGTCACCGAGCAGCACAAACGAAACAGTAGCCGCCTTTTACAATTCCTCCTGAACCAAAACAACCAGTTTATGCTGCGTTCACACCATAACTGTCATTTGGAAGAGATGGAAACCTGTGACGTTATATTTTGGAACGGTTCGTGACTCGAATTCATGCGTTTCAATTGCACAGCGAAATTAATCTGCAGAAACAGGTGGTACAGGTCAGAGCTCTTTAAGTTGTTGATGTTGATTATTACAGTAATGTTATGTGCTTTGAGACATGAGGTACTTTAACGCCGACTCTCGTGACGCTTTTGTTTGCTCCCTGCCGTTCATGTGTTTTGGAGGAGGCGGGGCTTTAGATATGCTCTGAAGTTTATTTGTTTGTTTTTGCTGTCCAGACTTTCAGAAACCATCTGGATAAAATCTGGATATAATAATAATAATAATAAACTTTATTTTATAAAGCGCCTTTAAAAGCAACTTCTCAAAGCGCTGTACACAAAATAAGCAATAAAAAGCTCAAATAATAAAAGTAACATCAAAAATCAAATGCTAATTAAAAAAATATGTCTTAAGTCTACCTTTAAAAATGTCAGCATCATAATTTTAAAATCAACTCGGAATCTGACTGGGAGCCAATCAGATATACAAAAAATATGATTTTTGCTGGCCTAAGTGTCCACATTTCATCCCTAAATTTCATGTTGCACTGTAAATAAACGTGAATTTCAATTGTGAATTCATTTAAATCGAGTAACATTTTTTTTTAACTCTTCTATACAGGCAGTTGCAATTAAACAGCAGAAACGGATGTGCTGTTGGAGATTTGTCAGATTAGTCCAAGTAGTATTAGTTCAAACAGTGGTCACTAAGCATCTTTTCAACGTCACGGAGGATGTTTGGCATAATAGATCAGTACAAAGTACAGAGGTTAGATCTTTTGACTTGACTTATGATCTCTAGTTTGATTCAATTAATGGTGAACTTTAATGGAGATTGTAACAAATTGGGATGAAATATACACTATTGTGCAAGAGTTTGGGGTCAGTAAGATTTTTTTAATTAAAGAAATGAATACTTCTATTCAGCAAAGATGGATTAAATTGATCAAAAACATTTACAATGTTACAAAAGATTTCTATTTCAAATAAAAGCTGCTCTTTTGAACTTTCTATTCATTAAAGAATCCGGAAAACAAAATGTATCGCAGGTTTCACACAAATATGAAGCAGCACAACTATTTTCAACATGAATAATAATCAAAAATATTTCTTGAGCATCAAATCATCATATTAGAGTGATTTCTGAAGGATCATGTGACACTAAAGACTGGTGTAGTGTTGCTGAAAATTCAGCTTTGATCACAGGAATAAATTACATTTTACAATATATTCAAATAGAAAACACTTATTTTAAATTGTAATAATATTTCACAATATTCTTGATTTTACTGTATTTTTGAACAAACAAATGCAGCCTTGGTGAGCAGAACAGTCTTCTTTCCAAAAAAAAAAATGTTTTAAGTCATACAAAAACCAACATTTTAAACAGTGGTGTACAGTATGTGATGCCAAACAAGTTGGTTTATAGTTTCACATTAAAGGTTTCACATCTTAAAGAAGCATCCCAGAACTGATTTAATTGGGTCAAATGGTGGATGAAAACGAACTGGATTCAGTTCAGATCTCCTCTTGTAGAATCAGTGGAGCCCGACACATAATTGTTTTCAATGTGCTCACCAATTTAATTAAGAACTGTACAGGATGCTTGAGTATATTAGGTTTTTTGGAAACAAGTTCTTGATGTTAAATTCTTCATATTTTTCTCTGAACCACAGACATAACGCTGTGAAATCGGATTTTGGAAGCGTTATTTTTCAGAGTGAAAGGCAGCTATTACATCTAAGGCCCGGTTCATCTTCACATGTCAAAAGTCTTTGATCCAGACTCAGAACTGGCCCAGGACACCGGTCCAGCTCGCTCCCAGACAGATATGCTCCTGAAATGAAACCTTTGAATCTAGTCCCAGATGGGAGAAATCAGAAATGAGAGGAATAATCTGGCATAACTACAAAGGAGAGCGGGGTATGGGATGGCAGAGGTGGCCTGCAGAACAGCTGAAAGCCAAATCCAGGACGACACAGAGATGCTTAGCAGACGCCTTTCGTCCGGTAAACACAAGGTCCATGATGCATTATCTCGGAAGAGGTCTCTGGTGATGTCATGCTCTTGGAGTGAGGAGAAGATCACTGCATGTTTCTGTTGCAGTGGATCATCTTTAAAGATGACGTGTGCCAATAAACAGATTGTTAATTTGGGGACAAACTTTTAAATAGTGAAAATTGCTCTTCATCTTAATCTACACTACTGTTTGAAAGTTGAGGATCAGTAGTTTTAAAAAAAAATGTTTTTGATAGAAGTCTCTTATGCTCATCAAGGCTGCATTTATTTGATGCAGTAAAAGCTGAAACAAATTGTGAAATATTATTACAAATTAAAAGAACAGTTTTCGAAGTGAATATATGTTGAAATGTAATGTATTCCTGTGATCAAAGCTGAATTTTCAGCATCATTACTCCAGTCTTCAGTGTCACATGATCCTTCAGAAATCACTCTAATATGATGACTTGACGCTCAAGAAACATTTCTGATTATTATCAATGTTGAAAATGATGACATAGAAAACTGATGAAACATATACCTTGAATGAAACTTAACTTAAAAAAAAAAAAAAAATCAGAAAATGCATACATTTAAATGTTAATGTGCCAAGTAAAAATTATATTTAATATTGTCACAAAATATTATTTGATTAAAAATAAGAATAACATTTTTTATTTAGCATTTTATGCAATGTCGCCATAGAACATTGAAAAACAAATTTTACTTTATTATTAATATTAACAAAATATACCCTTGTAGACTTTATAGAAAGCACATTTTATTGTCATTTGCATCATGACATGTAATTTTGCTGCAAAGTGCTGCAAATATGTGTGTGTGTGTCCCTCTATGTCTGACACACACACACACACACACACACACACACACACACACACACACACACACACACACACACACACACACACACACACACACACACACACACACACACACACACACACACACACACACACACACACACACACACACACACACACACACACACACACACACACACACACACAGATAACAGATACAGAGTTGTGCTCTATTGAGTTTGTGACCTAGATTGCTCTGCATTGATGCTGGTGACAGGAACGCCTCATAGAGGAGCTGAACGTCTATTCACTCGCATTACAGCGAAAACTGCCGGCAGCATTTCAGTCAGACAGACCCTCTGTGTCTATTCAGAACTGAGGCGCTCGTGTGTGTGTGTGTGTGCATGAAAAATATCTATGTGTATTTCCTGTTTTTATGAGCATGCGAACAAGAATTAAGTAATATTATAACATTTGTGATTTAAACGTTTCTTACAAATGGTTTAGTCTGAATCAGCTAATTTTGAATGTCTGTCAGTGGAAAGACAGATGGTTTTAGCCCCTGAATGGTGTCGGTATGGCCTTTACCAGCCAGGGCTGACTGGATCTGCATGCCAAAACTATAGTTATGGGCTGCGTCTGAAATCGCATACTCTTGAGTATAGGTACTTATTTTGTACTTTGCAAGCGCTAAAAAAAAAATTCTATATAGTATGAATGTGTGTAATTCAGATGCACTGCATTCGCCATGTTGTCATTAGCATGTGTGATACCAGCATCAGTTGCACATACTGTGTTTCGCCTACTGAAAGTATGTGATTTTGGGTGCAGAACTCGTCTGAAATAGAGTAAACTGCTTATGTTTGCTTTAGGCTCATGAATCAGGTGTTTGGTTCCATTAAATCCTTTTGTTTCTCACACACTGATCCATTAGCCACTGGCAGATTCGCAGCATTGTTTGGCTAATGTTGGGCTATTTGATCAGCACTGAGGTTATTTGCACTTCACACCAGTTGTAGCTTCTCTGAGAGCGTTTGAGGAAGTGATTAGAGCAGGTTTATAGGCAGAGTTAAAGAGTTAAAGCTCTCAATCGGAGCAACTAGACCTACTGATTCACTGACTGTCTTGGGGAATCTTATAAAGTCAAGAGAATGTGCAATGAAGCACATCTAACAATTTAGTGGAGGTACAGAAATCACATTTTTTAAAAGTAGGCTACCTAATATTTCCCTTTTCCTAATTAGGCTAATTAATTAGCAAACATCCACTGATTAACGCAGTCTAGTTACTATGTCAACATAAACATATGGCCACTTGTGTGAATGATGTCTTTGTAAGATATTTGTCGTTCTCTCTGCAGCGCTGTCTAATCTGGACATTGAGAGTAAGCTGAGTGGACACTACCAGGCCCCTTGGCTCCTGCAGAGGAACGTGTTCCTGCCCTCGACCCGGCCCGCCTGCGTCCAAGAGCTGCATCGACATGCCAAGCAGAGCCTGCGGGCGCTGTACAGAGGTTAGAGACCTTTACTAATCACTACCGCTCGATTATCAATCATCATATTTACTCCTTCATCCCGAGAACACCTTTTGACAATCACATCTCATCTAAGCAAAGTTGTTTGGGTTATTCATAATCCTCCATTCAGACACAGACCGCCCTCTAGTGGAGGAAGATGGAAACGTCACGTCTCAATGATGTGATATGTGATAAATGCCCAGTTTATATAGTATAGTAATATATTATAGTATTTGTAAATATTTTGAATTAGCTTTATTTTTATATTTTCAGTTTTTTAGTGTAATTTTAGTTTTATTTAGGTTTATTTGAAGTATCTCTATGTAGATTGAATTATTAAATTGACTAAATTTAGTGCTTTCAACTGTTTTTTTTTTTTTTTTAGTTACTTGCCAAGGCAACATTTCTAATTTTTGGTTAAGTTTTCCAAAATATTTAAATATTTTATTTGATTTCAGCTGTATTTCAATTTTTAAAAAAGTATTTTATTAATATTTGAAGTTTAAGTTTAGGTTAACAGTAACATAACTTTAACAAGACAGTATTTTTAGTTTTAATTTTAGTTTAAGTTATAGTAATTTGTCATTTTTATTAGTTTTTCTAAGTATTTGTGTATATATCATTTATTTTATTTCAGTTTTAGTAATTTTAGTACTTAAACTTTTCCAAGGCAACTAATATTTTTCATCTAATGTTTATAATTTATTTTATTTCACCTTTATTTCAATTAACGAAAATGATTTTATTAGTTTTAGTTTTCATAACAACACTGTACATGACAGGATATAACTATTATAACTATAAAATTAAAATGGTAATTCTTAAAACGGATTTGATTTATTTGTAATGTATAAGAAAAAGTAAAAAACGGCAAAAGAATGTCAGACGATGTAATAATTAGCCACACGCATAATACAATTTAAACCATTAAATCTCCATCTATCTATAAATTACAGGAACGTCTGTCTGTCTGTGTGTCTGTGTGTCTATCTGTCTGTCTGTCTGTTAATCGAATATCTCTAGAACCGTTAGTCTGATGGATTGAAAAAGTAGTGTACATTTTTTTTATTATACATTTGTTACAGTCTTATTATACATTTATTACAATGTAATCATACATTTATTACAGAGTTATTATAAATTTATTACAATATAATTATACATTACAGTGTTATTATATACGTTTATTACCATGTAATTATACATTTATTACAGTGTTATACATTTGTTACAATATTATTATTATACGTTATGTTATTTTTTTGTTACATTATTCTTTTTGAAAAAATTCTTATTATACATATATTACAATGTAATTATATGTTTATTACAATGTAATTATAATTTTTTTACAGTGTTTTTATACATTTATTACAATGTAATTATACGTTTAATACAATGTAATTATACATTTATTACAGTGTTATTATACATTTGTTACATTATTATTATACATTTGTTACATTATTATTTTGTTTCATTAGTCTTTTTTGAAAAAGTAGCGATTCACTTTCGAAAAAGTAACGATTCTTTTTTGAAAAAGTATCGATTCACTTGAAAAAGTAGCACTTCATTTTGAAAAAATAGCAATTCTTTTTGAAAAAGTATCAATTCTTTTTTGAAAAAGTAGCGATTCACTTTTGAAAAAGTAGCGATTCACTTTTGAAAAAGTAGCGATTCACTTTTGAAAAAGTAACAATTTAACTGAATCTTTAAGTCAGCTACACTGTTTAATTCTGAATATTATATTTTATTCTGATGCGCTTAACGTTATCGTTTTCTCAGAGTTTAGGCTCCTGTGTAATAGTAAACAAATAAAAACATAACTGTTCATTATGTAAGGTCTTTATACACCACTAAAACATAGTTATGTGTATGATATTGCATTTCTGTCAACCGATCCTCCTAAATATTACACACTGCACCTTTAAAGCAATTGAAAATGGACAAATACCAAACATCATGATTATAAGTTCAAACGTGTGAATTATGATTTCATATAACTAGGCTATTTCTAATTTCTAATTCACTATGCTATTTCTAATTACTAGTGGTGCTTGAGTTGCAAGCATCACTGTTATTATATTGCTCTTAAGGTTAGTGATTTGAACAAACACCTAACTCTAAGTATTAAACTTCAGAGTGTATATACCTCACTATTTACCTCACTATTCACTGTATATACCTCACTATTCAAAAGAAATGTTTATTGATTTTAGAATGAGTCAATCATCAAATTCAACTTTTATCAACGGGGAGGCTATACAATCAGTTACAAATCATAAATATCTTGGCATTGTGATTGACCATAAGCTTAAATGGGATCTGTGGTCTGACCTCATCAGCACTAAGACACAACAAAGGATGTACTTTTTAAAGAAACTGTTATCTTTTAATGTTCATAACAAAATGCTGCAGATGTTCTATTGTTCTTTTATTGAAAGTGTTTTGGCTTTCTGCATCACCTGCTGGTTTGGTAATGCTACTGAGGCACAGAAGAAGTCTGTAAGAAAAACAGTAACAATGGCCAGTAAACTATTAGGGATCAAGTTACCAAGTGTGGAATGCATTTACAGGGAAAGAGTAATGAACAAGGCAAAATCCATTGTGAGAGACAAGAGGCACCCCCTTGCCTCTTCATTCGAACTGCTGCCTTCTGGGCGACGATATTGCCTCCCTCTGTTTACCAAAAATAGATCAAAATCTTCATTTGTGCCTCAAGCAATTAAGTTTTTAAACATGTAAGTTAAATAGGAAGGATACTTAGCTGGTCTGGTATGCCTAATTTAATCGGTAGTAAAGTGCGGGGTATGGTTAAATATGTGTTAAGTGTATTAGTATGTGTCTTTGTATGTTTAAAGGTTCTCCTTTGGTGTATGATGTATGTTGTAATGCCTACCTGATAGCCATGCAAACAAAGTTTCTTACGGGGACAAATAAATGTACTTTACTTACTTTACTTATTTGTGTTCCAGACATTATTATTCCTCAAATCGCGTGTCTTGTTGATATAAATGACTTACGGATGGATTTGCGTTGTGTTTGTGTACCTGCACATCATCAGACCAGCAGCAGAGGCAGGAGGTCAGCGAGAGGCAGCGGAGGGTCACCATCTCCATCTCCATGGCTCCGCCCATCATGCCCAGTTACCCGTCGCCCCGCGCCCACAGGACACGCCCGCAGAGAGAGAGACACCTGACCACGGTAAACATCTGCCCGCAGAACCATGTGCTGTTACTGCAGACCTGGTCTATAGTGGGACTTCTGGTAGACGGTGTGATGATGATGATGATGATGATGATGATGATAGTGTGTCTGTGTGTTTAGGAAAGGACAGAGAGAGACATAGAAACTCAGACAACACAAACACAGGTAAACACACGCCTGTGTGTCACGCAAAACCGACACGCTGCACTGCATGGAGATATTTTGTTTTAGATAAATCAGTCCACCATTGTTGTCCTTTATTTGTGTATGTTTTCCTTCAAATATCCCCTTGTGAAAACGTATTTAGTGTGCTTTTTTAGTGCTTATTGTGATGGTTTAAAGCAAACATGTGAGACAAAGTATGAAATACTTTGAAAATAAAATAAATTAACACCTCGTTTCAATTCACCATTCATATAATACCAAAATGGTATCAGAAACATAACCGAACCCTGCTTTGTTATAGAGCAGATTTCAGCAGTGGAGTGTTCGGCGGTTTGAAATTTATAGGCTATATAATATATACATTTTTGTCAAAAATATATATATCGATATTGAAATATACCGGGAACTCTTTCAATACTCATTTTCCATAGATACACGATAACAGCTGCGCTTTCTCTCTCTCGTCTTTCCGATAGGCGAATTACACACAAACCCGTTTCATTTGCTCCGGATGAATATTGTTGGTGTTGCAGGGCTTGAATTTCGGCGGGTTTGCGTGTATTGTGCATAATTTCTACAGATTTTGTGCTCACACTCAAAGTGCGGCACATAAAGCCGTCTCTCAGTACTAAATTGTGTTATTTTTTACTGCTTATTGCGCTTAAACAGTCAAATACACACAAAATAATGTCAAAATGCTGGTCTTATGTGTTCACATAAACACAGTCAGTTATGTCTTAAGTGAACATAAACAGTTGAGAAAGAAACGCATGTGTAACAGTATAATGGATCTGTGCGTCTGTTCTTAAAGTGACAGCAGCCTATTATACCTGCTGCCAGCCTAATATACCTGCTGCCAAATTATGAGATAATATAAAAAAATATCTATATGGCAGTTTTTCCCCATGGTATCAATGTCAAAATTGTGGCCAGTGAAAATGCTGAGTGGCTAGTAACTTTGTAAAACCATTAGCCACAGTGGCTGCTGAGCAGAGAAGTTCATGTCAAGCCCTGTGTAGCCTTACTAAACAAATTATGAAATAATATGAAACAATACTTTACATTGTTCTCCACTTAAACCAGGAGCCAAACCCTTAAAAAATAATAATAATAAGCCAAAATAAAATAAAAAATAGTGATAGGCGAAACACTTCCAACTGAAATTTCAATGGTTTGCCGCTATATGAACCCATGAACCATATGATTTTATGTATGATTTTTTCTTCAGCTGAACATGAAAGAAGGTATTTTAAAGAATACGGTTAACCAAACAGTTGCTGGTCCCCATTGACTTCCATAGTATGGAAAAAAATATTTATACTATGGAAGTCAATGGGGAACAGAAATTGTTTGGTTACCCATATTCTTTCAAATATATTCTTTTAAGCTCCACAGAACAAATAAAGGCATACAGGTTTAAAACAACTCGAGGGTGACAAAATGATGACACAATTTTTATTTTTGGGTGAACTATCCCTTTAAGAAACCGTCATGAAAGTGCATAGACTTCTCTCTTTAAGTACACTTGTCTTTAAGTAACATTGTATTTCATTAATATTATATTATCTGCAAGTATAGTTCTTTTAAAATATTCTATTAACATATAAAGAACACTAAAAGTGCACATTAAGCACATTTCTTCTTTAAGAAGGGTCATATACCTTGTGAAGCATAATCAACATGTTCCTTACAGCAATAGAGTATTTTTTCTTTGCATTGATGTTCATGATGGTTCTAGAGATTATGTATTAATTTTTCAGTCTCATAGTTTGCCTATTTTGACTCATTGTGAATAAAGCAGAAGCATAACTAAATTAGCCAGGTTGCCAGTTCATTTGGTCATTAATTGAATAATTATTTAATGTTGATTTTGATCCAGCTGATCCGAAAGCAGGGAGCATCTCTCTGGATGTCGTGCTGTAAGGACGTTATTTGTATACCAGGCCGGTCATTATGAAAATAACTCCTCTTTTGCAGCCAACCATGCAGCCGTGAGGACAAACAACATTAATTTCTTTGTTTAACAGTGTATGATAACAACACTATTTCTTTCAGGATGTTTTAGGCTGCTAACAGACGTTCAGTTAGCTGTGTTGGATTATGTATACACTCACCTAAAGGATTATCAGGAACACCTGTTCAATTTCTCATTAATGCAATTATCTAATCAACCAATCACATGGCAGTTGCTTCAATGCATTTAGGGGTGTGGTCCTGGTCAAGACAATCTCCTGAACTCCAAACTGAATGTCAGAATGGGAAAGAAAGGTGATTTAAGCAATTTTAAGCGTGGCATGGTTGTTGGTGCCAGACGGGCCGCTCTGAGTATTTCACAATCTGCTCAGTTACTGGGATTTTCACGCACAACCATTTCTAGGGTCTACAAAGAATGGTGTGAAAAGGGAAAAACATCCAGTATGCGGCAGTCCTGTGGGCGAAAATGCCTTGTTGATGCTAGAGGTCAGAGGAGAATGGGCCGACTGATTCAAGCTGATAGAAGAGCAACTTTGACTGGAATAACCACTCGTTACAACCGAGGTATGCAGCAAAGCATTTGTGAAGCCACAACACGCACAACCTTGAGGCGGATGGGCTACAACAGCAGAAGACCCCACCGGGTACCACTCATCTCCACTACAAATAGGAAAAAGAGGCTACAATTTACAAGAGCTCACCAAAATTGGACAGTTGAAGACTGGAAAAATGTTGCCTGGTCTAATGAGTCTCGATTTCTGTTGAGACATTCAGATGGTAGAGTCAGAATTTGGCGTAAACAGAATGAGAACATGGATCCATCATGCCTTATTACCACTGTGCAGGCTGGTGGTGGTGGTGTAATGGTGTGGGGGATGTTTTCTTGGCACACTTTAGGCCCCTTAGTGCCAATTGGGCATCGTTTAAATGCCACGGCCTACCTGAGCATTGTTTCTGACCATGTCCATCCCTTTATGGCCACCATCCTCTGATGGCTACTTCCAGCGGGATAATGCACCATGTCACAAAGCTCGAATCATTTCAAATTGGTTTCTTGAACATGACAATGAGTTCACTGTACTAAAATGGCCCCCACAGTCACCAGATCTCAACCCAATAGAGCATCTCTGGGATGTGGTGGAACGGGAGCTTCATGCCCTGGATGTGCATCCCACAAATCTCCATCAACTGCAAGATGCTATCCTATCAATATGGGCCAACATTTCTAAAGAATGCTTTCAGCACCTTGTTGAATCAATGCCACGTAGAATTAAAGCAGTTCTGAAGGCGAAAGGGGGTCAAACACAGTATTAGTATGGTGTTCCTAATAATCCTTTAGGTGAGTGTATCTTTACTTACGACACTGTAATCTAACCATCAGATGATAACACATGATTCCATCTTGTTCATGTTCATTTGACTTGTCATGACAAGTGACAACATATTGCTGATCGCTTTGGATCTATAGAGTGCTGATGTATGTTTGTTGGCCGACCTGTAAGTTTGCATCACTGTTTCCCTCGACAAAAACACTACAGTTTTTTTCCTTTGGATTATTGCAGTAAACAAGCTGTTACCAACAAAAGTTTATGATTTATCATTGTGATAATCTTCACAAATGAACACATCTTTTATGAATTTTGAAGCCTAAATACAATCTCCAGAAGTAAGAAGCTAAATGTAAGCAATAATTGAACTTACACTACAGTCACATGACTTCAATGTCACCATCACTAAACCGCATTTTTCAAGACAAGTAAAGGCTTTGAAAAATCGCAAGATATAGTTAATGTCGTAGAATAAAACGTGGATATATATTGAGCTTGTTTGAACCACAGGCCTTATTTCAGGCATTTAAACAAAAACCCATTAAAAAAAACGTATTGATTCAGAACTCGTTTCCGGGGTTTTGGCCTACAAAAATACGTCATCCCTCTGTGTTGCACTGGGTAGTCCCGCCCACTGTCAATTCTGATTGGTCCAAAATCTTGCTCAACATGGATGCATATTAAACAGCAAGTTTTGCTGTGACCGAAAAGTTATTTGCTTCTGAAATGCATTGCATCTGTTTAGGACACATGCCAAGCTTACTATCCATCCTACATAGTGTGCAATAGAATTAGTGAGTCTCAAATTATAGTATGTTGAAAATAGTATGCTACATTTTGGTGATGAATGGGAAAATACTTCTTGAACCAAACTGCACCGTGCAAGCATGCACTTTTCCATCACCAGCAGAGCTCGCTTTTAGTGCACACTATATATGTATGCGAATCGGGACGCAGCTGGAGTTATTAAAGTTGAAGTACTCCAGATGACTTCTTAATTATATATAATCACCTACATCTATATCATCACGTCATGTTTTGACAAGCACAGTTCAGTTCAGTTTTATTTATCCCTTAGGAAATTTGTTTTGCACAGATTATACGCATCACATTAACACAAGCACACACACAAGTAGACAAGTTAAAAAGGCACATGGTTACAGACTATTCAACATTGAAATAGCAGTTGGTATAAATGAGTTTTTGAACCTCCCCCCATTGCTTGAGTCACGGGTGTTGTGTTAGTTTGAACGACTGTGACTGTTTTGCAGAAGTACCTGCACCAGACTGTGATTCCCTCATTGTGTTCATTTCTGTGTCCATATTCATCCTCATATTCATGTCCATCTTTGTGTTTGTTTGTGTGTGTTGTAGTTCCAAAGCACCCGGTCCTCCTCCCCTACTGAGTGTTGTCATTTTTCCCCATGGAGCAGAAAGGTATTTTACAACCGAATGTCTCCTAAATCCTACTTTCACGCTGTTTTATATCCATAATCATGAGGGCAAAACTGCTTCCAGATCAGAACCTTTGACAAAAATAAGACTCTTTAGAAACTTTAAGACAAGTTTTTAACATTTATGAGCTTTAATATGCTTAATCAGATATCATTCACTTCTGAATGAAAACCAAATCTTAACATGGCTCTTTGTGTTTTTCTAACATCTATCATTCTTTAAAACGTCTCTTCTGATGCTTAACCTTCTGTAGTTCAGAACGCCTGACCTAACATCTGGATCGATTAACCGTCAACATAATCTTCTGTGCATGTGTGTGCAAGTCTGAATGAAAGAAAATGGGTGTATTACAGTCTCAGAAACTTATTAAGGGGGGAATTGATTTCCGGGGCATTTTACAAAAATATGAAGCAGCACAACTGTTTTCAACATATAAGAAATGCTTCTTGAGCATCAAATCATTATTAGAATGATTTCTGAAGGATCATGTGACACTGAAGACTGGAGTAATGATGCTGAAAATTCAGCTTTGATCACAGGAATAAATTACATTTTAAAACTGAGTGCAATGTAATGTTGTAAAAAATATAGATTTGACAAAAAGTCAGTAATGTTAAGTGAACATAGACAGTTGAGAAAGAAACACATGTGTAACAATATAATGGATCTGTGCGTCAGGTCTTAAAGTGACAGGAGCCTAATATACCTGCTGCCAAATTATGAGATCTAAATGGCAGTTTTCCCCCATGGTATCGATGTCAAAATTGTGGCCAGTGAAAATGCTGAGTGGCTAGTAACTTTGGAAACCACTAACCACAGTGATTGCTGAGCAGAAAAAGTTAATGTCAAGCCCTGCTAGTAATGCTGTATAAATAAAAATTTGCACAGACTAATAAAACATTGTCCTTCTCACACCCTCTCCAGCATTATGCTCCAAAAAACAGTATGTGAGGAATGTCTTCCGGGACGCACGCACACGCGCGCACACACACACACACACACACACACACACACGGAAGTGCGCTAGTCTGAGGTTTCCTAATGACAGGGTTTCCAGTGTAGAGCTGCTGCCTGACTGTGTGTGTGTGTCTGTGGCAGAAAAATATAATTGCCCATCAACTCCCCGCACTGTGGCTTACCCACAAACCCCTGCCTGAGTGCCTGACTCCAATATAGAGAGTGAACAAGAGAACAGAGGCACTCCATCATGACTTCCCTTTTGAAATTTTGTCTTCGACTCACATCTGTCTTTTTTGATCAATTTTAAGGCATATGCAGCATCCAAAATTAATGCAAGGCTTTGTTCCTTAAGTTACCAGCTATGATGTGTCAGTTTGACTTACAGGCTGGTAACGTGGAACTGCAACATAATGCATGCTTCTTCTAAGTCGAATGATAAAAACAATATCCTGATCGACGAATCCATTATTGAGCACCAAAAATATTTGAGCATCAAGTCATCATATTGGAAGGATCTCTTAAGAATCATGTGACTCTGAAGACTGGAGTAATGATGCTGACAATTCAGCTTTGATCACAGGAATAAATTACATTTAAAATATATTAAAATAGAAAGCAGTTATTTTAAATTGTAATAATATTTCACAATAGTTAAGAGTTTTTACTGTATTTTTAATCAAATAAATGTAGCCTTGGTGAGCAGAATTTTTTTACTTAAAAAAAAATTCGAAACCTTTGACTAGTATTGTACTTATTTATTCATTTTTACTATTTTTTTAATCACTTGCCATTGGAAGATTGACAAAATGCAAATTTCGGACCCTAAACATGCAATGCTTAGCATAAGTGAACACATGCTAAAGTTGACTAAAAAGAGGAATAAAAAAATCATCTTTTGGAAATGGATCTAAATGCCTTAATTTAAAAAATGAGGAAAAATCCAACCTTTAAGGACACCAATTTTCTTTGCAAATGAATAATGTATCGTAAATAAATAAATGTTCTTCCTTAAAATACAGGGTGCATAAGTCAGGACACCCCTATGTTAAATTCCCATAGAGGCAGGCAGATTTTTATTTTTAAAGGCCAGTTGGAATTAAAATAGCCCCACATCATCACATACCCTTCACCATACCTAGAGATTGGCATGGTTTTATTTCAGTTAGCCTAATAGCTGGTTTGATTTGCCTTGAGAGATGATCTTATGGAAAGTACCCCATGCCAATCTCTAGGTATGTTGAAGGGTATGTGATGATGCATGGTGTGTTCACTTATGCTAAGCACTGTAGGTCTTGTAGACATACTATAACTTTCACTTTCTCAAGTTTCCTCGCGTTCCATCTTTCTTTTTCTGGTTTCGAACTTCATGTATGGCATTCTTTCATTCCCCTGATGTTTCTTTTCTAATCAAAATAGCCCTTTGAACGCGAGCCAGATGGAGAAATCAAACCGTCACATTTGGCACATTCCCAGCCCCCTACTTTCCCTCTTCTCCTGCTCATTTTGGCTCCATACCCTCCTTTTCTTTTTTCTGCTTTGATCCAATGCTTTGCAATACTCCACTTCACCCCTTGCCCCTCATTTCAGCGCCGGCAAACAAAAAGGCCATAAACTCCCTTTGATTCTGTCCGTCTGTTTTTGTGCCTCTTCCCTCTTTCTTTTCCTCCTCCTCCTCCTATGGTTTTGGGAGAAGTTTCCGTGGTAACACTTTTTTTTTGGCTGCTGTTTATTGTGAGATCCTCATTGGGCGGCTGGGAAAGCGACACACATAGACTCAATATCACAGCTCTCTTTAACACTGCACGTTCATATGTGGCTGGGTGACAGCCCTAAACACTTCAAACCTTTTTAAGCTCTGTAAACTTCACAAGGTAAGTTTGTACAGTAGCTTTAACTCATTAGCTTAGCTGCAAAGTTAACTATCTGACAGGATTTAGTAAGTGTACTTCAGCTGGTGCAGTGGATGACAGCTGAATAGTGGGAATTGAACACTGAAGTGTTGTGTTGCATGCTTCATGTAGACATGTGTCCTGGGTTGTTTAATTTCTTATAACTTTTTCCTGAAACTGTTTCACACAAATGCATCTTCATCGTCATTTGCATGTGCCAACGCTTCTTTATGCATGTGCATGTAGGTTTTGTAACAAAAAATCTAAATGTTCTACAATTTGAAGTGTTATTCCTCTGTTTCACAGACTTCATGAAATCAAAATACGATTTTTGTTGCTTTTAGTTTATGTCGGTTAGCATTGAAGTATTCTACAACAAGTTCTTCTTTTCCAGAAAATATGGACCAAAAGTATGCAACTTTTAAATATTGCTATAGCCACTGACTAGCAAAAAGTCACTAGCAGATTATGACTGACATAAATAAAGACCATTGGCCATTTAAAAGAAAACAGGTCCAACTTCTTGTTTTATTGGGAAATACGTCATAGGAACATTAAAGGGTTAGTTCACCCAAAAATGAAAATTCTGTCATTAATTACTCGCCCTCATGTCTTTCTAAATCCGTAAGACTTTCGTTCATCTTCGGGACACAAATGAAGATATTTTGATGAAATCTGAGAGCTTTCTGTGCCTCCATTGACAGCCTAAGCAACTACCACTTTCAAGTCCCAGAAAAGTAGTAAAGACGTCATTAAAGTACTCCATGTGACACCAGTGGTTTAACCTTAATTTTATGAAGCGACGCGAGTGCTTTGTTTGCGCAAAAAAACACAATTTACCAAAATATTAATCTCCAATGTGCGTTCATGCAACAACGTCCACTCTAACATCAACACAACACACATGGGAGATTAATGTTTTGTAAATAAAGTGTTTTTTTTTGCGCAAAGGACTCGCGTTGCTTCATAAAATTTAGGTTAAACCACTGGTGTCACATGGATTACTTTAAAAATGTATTTACTACCTTTCTGGGGCCTGAAAGTGGTAGTTGCATAGGCTGTCAATGGAGGGACAGAAAGCTCTCAGATTTAATTGAAAGATCTTCATTTGTGTTCTGAAGATGACTGAAAGTCTTACGGTTTTGAAATGACATGAGGGTGAGTAATTAATGTCAGAATTTTCAATTTTGGGTGAACTAACCATTTAACTGCTCTAATCAAGTGAATTCATGGGGTCTTGAAGTTCACCGCAACACTGGAAACATCATTCATTTGATAGACATTCAACCGCAGAAACCTCATTCTGATATTCTTTGCCGTAATGTTATTCTAGGTTGCTCCTTCAGTCGATTCGGATTCAGAGGCAGGGGCTCTGGGCCACTGGCCGAAGTGCCCGATCCCAAACGTGCCCTCAACGCTGGACAAACAGACAAACTGGGCTGGAATCTTACCATTACCCACCCCAGAAGAGAAGATGAAGACGGAGTCTCGAGTCATCACCTCATGCATCGTTCCCATTAACGTAACAGGTAAATGCCCCTAGTGTTTGCTGGTGATAATGCATGCTGAGTCAGAACTGAGTCTGACACTTAAATGGTTGTTCATAGCAGTTATAAAGGACAGTTTAAATTAAAGAAAAGCTACTTTCATTCTATTATTGCTCAACTACATATGGCTCAAGTTTGGTGAAGTTGTCACTACTGAAGGAGAACTTTGGTCCATTAGGATCTAGTGATGTTGTAAAAGTGTGCAAATTTAGTATGTAAAGAGCAATGATAATAACAAATAATGCCAGGAGCTTTTGTGCCAATTCTTGATTAAGGGTGTGTTCACACTTGTAGTTCGGGTTCTCTTGGTCCTTTCTTAATCCCTCTATCAGATCAGAAATGACAAGATATTGGCTTTTACCTGCCTATCTTTTTGCTGTGATAGTTTTGCTAGTGCTAGCATAACTCAGGAACAGTACCGGTATATGTTGCATCTCATAACTAAATGCATATGAAAACATGAACATCTTGACCAAAGTTCTCCTCTGGCATCAATGAACAGAAGGATCACCTTGTGAGAACGCTGAATTTTGCGTGTATTGTTTTCAGAGGAGGGCGCCAACGCTACTTCCCCCTCAGCGATATCAGCTTTGCTAAGTGAGAGATCTTTTACATGTCCATCAAGTTTCCCTCTTCAGTCTCAGTGCCACTTCATTCCCTAACCATCACCATTTAGAACAACATGTGGAGAGAGAGAGAGAGAGAGAGAGAGAGAGAGAGAGAGAGAGAGAGAGAGAGAGAGAGAGAGAGAGAGAGAGAGAGAGAGAGAGAGAGCGAAGGGGTTGGCATCTTAGCTTTATAAACACTCTCATTGTGGCTGTTGTTTCTTCTTAATTAAATGCAAAAACAGTTACGGAAATTGATTATTCACATTACTAGCTCATGCTACTATAAGTTGGCGTTAAGTGGCCATTAATTTAATAAATAAAAGGTTAGTAGTTCTGAAACATAGATGGATAAAGTAAACGGGTGATTTTTTCAGTTAGGGGAACTTTTAAAACCTCATTCTGTTTTAAAGGTGCAGTGTGTAGATTTTAGCGACATCTAGCGGTTCGGTAGCGAGTTGCACTAAGGGCTCAGCCCACTGCTCACCCCTCCCTTTCGAAGAAGCTACGGTGGCTAAAACGGGACAAACATATCGTCGTCTGAGACAGCAGAGAATAGCCAGAGGAAGCCAAGTTTCTGTAGCACAGTCCATTAAAAACCACATCATGGATAAAGTTTACAAAGCCATAGTCAGGTGAGGATCAAGGCTCTTAATATATAATATAATAATAGTAATCAGCTGATTGTGTCATGAACGTAACCAGCACAATTCTCCCCACATAGCAATCCCATAATACAGCGAGGGAGAAAAAACCACATGAAACTATCCAACTACATATTTTTTCTAACAGGGTAGTAAAAGTTTAGCTGGCTAATATAAGCTGTTATGCTGTAGGGCTGTGGCTGAGCTGGTTAAAGCGTAAAGCATTGTTTATACTCGACGCGTCCGCGGCAAAAATGACGTGATTGTAACAGCGCGCGCGCCTCCGCATCCCCTAGACACCATTTACTACACACAAATTAATAAATAATAATGAATAAAAATATTGATTTTTTTTCTCTGGTTTTGAAAACTCTTCGCGATCGACTTAAAATGCTTCCAAAATCGACTTGTCGACCGCGATCGACGGGTTGGTGACTCCTGTAACGTTACTGTTTTACGGTCAATAGTACTAATCAGCTGATTGTCAAAGCCATAACACAGCGAGGGAGAAGAACTAAGTTACATGAAACAATCCAACAACACATTTTACACCACTGACAAGGGAAAAGTCACTACTCATGGTGTCTATGGCTAGCTTCTAGCTTTCTGTGCCTTCTCTTTCAAGGTATGAACGAAACGCTCAGTAGCGTTGTGTGTCCGCTGTCGGCTACGGTAGAAACATGACGTCACAATATGTCGACCTTCATAGAAGGGGGTGCCCGCGGTTATGTAGATATAAATGTCTCATTCAAAGGTAATAAAAACATAACGGTTCATTGAGTAAGGTCTTTATACACCACTGAACACATAGTCATGGATCTTATATTGCATCTCTGTCAATAGATCCTCAGAAATATTACACATTGCACCTTTAAAAGCGTAAAAAATATTTGCTTTAAACTTTTGGCATTTTAGACCATTTGCTAGTTGAAGGTTAAACAAGGCCATAATCAGATCTTCTTTATTCCATGGCATGTGATAAATTTTTTAACATAGATTAGTGGTTCTCAACGGGGGCGTTCAGAGAACAACGGGGGGCGTTCGAAGCAAGATTTTCGAAAGGGGTGCGTTCAGGTGTTAATGGGGGGCGTTCATGAGTTTAAATATTTTTGCTCATTTACTTTTATTCATTTTAAGCATTTAATAATTTATTTGTAATAAACACTTTAAGTGGGCCATTTAAAAAGTGTTAGGACTATTTATATGTTAAATTATGTTTTAAAACATGTGCAGAGCGTGAGGTCATATTGTGTGTGCGCGTCTATGGTGCCAATAATGTCAAAAATATGATGTGCAGTCAAGTTTAGGTGTGTGTATGCTGTTTAAATGAGTGTTCTCACCGATACGCTTGTTGTGATTGGCGGAGTTTTGACAAGTTGTATTTTGACGACTAGAATCACGCAGCGGAGGAATGGAAAGTTGACAAGCCATTAAAAAGTATTGACTTATATATTTTCAATAAATCATGTTCCCATTCACACTAAATTCTATTTATAAGGTAAAACTTTTTAAAACATTTTTAGGCATTATTAATCCCAATGCCTAATGCCAAAATGTTTTATTTGTTCACCAAGTAATTCACTGGTCCGGCATTTTTTGTTAACTCGCAAGACAGTAAGCAGAAAATGACAATTTGATGGATAATTTCAATATGTTCTATAATCACATTTTGGTAATGTATTCCGCCATCACATCTGAGCGCGAAACGCTGCTTGGATAGTTTCAAGATAGTTACATAGAAAATAATGAATAATACAATAATAATTTAATTTAATTTAATTAATCATATGTGTTTATTCTTGTTAGAATATATTTTATTTTACTGATTATGAACACAAATTAATCACGACAAACCAAATTAATTGTAATTGTATTAATGAAAAACCAGCTGATACCAAGGTATTTTAGGCCTACAATTCTAACATAATTTTTCATGAAAAATCAGGATTGTATTTATTTATTTTTCGAAAGTAAGGTTAATGTAAGTAGCTTCTTGCAATACTAAAACCTACGTGCAAACATTACCGCTTTAATGACCGTCCTTTATTTTTCAGTGCATTTGTTTTACAATATATGGCTATTACTGAAATGAGATTAATATTACTATTATGTAGTAGTGTAATGTAGACAGACAACTAAAAGAGGTTTGAATTTTCCTTTGTTTAATTTGCACACTGAATATGGGTGGAGCTTTTAATTTTGAACTCTCAAAGTGCACCAGATTGATGAATTTAACATTAAAATGCACAAAATTTTCTGGGGGGCATGCCCCCGAACCCCCCTAGAAGGCTTGAGGACCACCCACCACAGATTTAACAAACAACCTGTGAGAAACACTGCTATTTCTATGCCAATGCAACTTATAGCTTTTTGGGGGGGATTAATCACTGTGGAGTATAGTTTAATTGTATTAATAAATTATAATTTTGTACTTATTTCATCTGTTAACTCTCACTCGCTTGACTCGCTCATAACATGGCATTAGTTGGGGTGGGGGGCGGTCAGGGACTTGGATATTGGATAGGGGGCGCTGGCCCAAAAAAGGTTGAGAACCACTGACATAGATGAAACATGGTTTGAAGAAGTTTCATTTTCAAGTTGTCAAAAGTGCCCAAATGGAAGAATCACCCAAATACATTCAAATTAGACACACTGGAAAGTAGGCTAAAATCTGCAAGTCATAAAATTTGAAACAAAAAAGTTCTTAGTTGTCTTGGTTACTTTCTTTGTGCCAGGTAATGCAAAGAGTCAAGAAAGCGTTTTGTGCATGCTAATCAGTTGCATTAGAATTACAAAGAGGCCGAATATATCTACTCCAGGCTTGACTGGAACAGGATTTTTGCAGTGCGTGTCAGCATGGATTGAATCGAAGACAGTGTCGACTGGAAATTGCACATCACAGGCGCAGTGGTGTAATTGGTGCTCAAAGGGCCAAGCCTGCAATCACATGAGAGTCATGATGCATGACACTGGACAAACATCAAAACAAATAAAGCTTCAAATAAAGAGAACGGCAGCAGGCTGCAGTCTAGAGAGTAAGGCTGGGGTCGGGTAGGACAGATATACTCCCATTTTCAACCCTGGTTGTTTTCTGTTCTGACGTCCTGAATATGTCGCTCCTTTCACCTTGCATGGCATTGCGTATTGTTGTCTGATGTATTTTTGTGTCAGTTAAAATATTTTAACATGACTGAAACCATCATTTTTTGTTACATTTATGATTTTATAATACATGCATTTTTTTCTTCTGAGAATTTAAACTTGCATAATGATGCATAACATGGATAAATGTAGATTTTTTATATGTGATATGTTCAAGTACTGTTTTATACCGTAAAATATTAGAAACATAAAAAGTATTACATTTATAATATATAATATGTTAAATATATTCAAGAATGTATTGTTAAATAAATAATTATATTAATTTATAAGTGTGTTCTTTTAATAATTATTATGGCTAAAATAAAAAATAAAAAAATGAGTGTGAGAAACATGGTATGGAGAAGCAAAAAAATAAAAGTGGCTTGCTCCCAACACCCTCTCACATGTCTGTTGCTCTTTGCAGGGGTTGGGTTCGACAGAGATGCCAGTGTGCGCTGCTCACTAGTCCATTCGCAGTCAGTTCTTCAACGGCGGAGGAAGCTAAGGAGACGGAAAACGATCACTGGCATTCCCAGACGAGTGCAGCAGGATTTGGGTGTGTGAAGCATTCTCCTATCACTCTTTTTGTTTTCCTTACTTGTTTATTAATTGTGTTTAAATGTGATAATAGTAAATGTCACAAAAATAAAATGTATTACTAAAAACATCTTTCATCACTTTTTAAGATTCTGACGAGTCTCCAGTGGCCAGAGAACGTACTGTGATAGTCCACACCAACCCTGAACTTTGCCAAGAGGATCTCACGCTCTCTCGCCTCAACACTAAGGACTCTGGTTGCCAGACAGAAGAATTGCTGATTGTTGGGGCTGCACCCTCACGTAGACGGATCAGAGCACAAAGGGGGCAGGGCGTGACTGTGTCACTGTCCCATTCCACAGGGAACATATCTTCTCTGCCTGACAACTCTGACACAATGTTCACCGCCTCAGTAGGCTCCCGTCTGCGTTCCCGAAGCCTCCCGCGTGAGGGAGGGCGACTGGTGGATGAAGGTCATGATGAAAGTGATGAGGATGATGACGAGGAAGAACTGTCCCCGTTTGAGGCAGAGGACTTCCTACCAGTCCCAGGGGAACATATTCTAAAAGATGATGAAGAAAGCACTGATGACCAGGCAATCCCAGAGGGCCAGCATAACCGTTTGGAATTCAAGCAACATGCTGGAACTACAGAGCATGACTGGATGGAGAGGGGTCGATCCCGTCTGCCTCGTAAAGCTGACATGGGTAGCTGTGAGATTTCGTCAAGTTCTGATACGTTCAGTAGCCCCATTCACTCCGTTTCCAACGCTGGTGTGCTGACTAGCCAGATGGACCACAAGGAAGATCACCAGTCCTCGAGTGGCAACTGGAGTGGTAGTAGTTCTACATGTCCCTCCCAGACATCAGAGACCATTCCACCTGCAGCCTCACCCCCACTCACCGGATCATCCCACTGTGATTCAGAGCTATCATTGAATGCAGCTACTAATACTAATGATGATTCCACAGGGTTCATTATTGATCCTTATCATGGAGACCGATCGCAAGGCCTCCGTAGCCATAGGACAGGTTCATTCACTTCCACTGCAACTGACATGCTTGATGATGCTGGAGTCAGCACTGCCAGTGAGGGTGAGTGGAGCTATCCCCTCTACAGGCACAACATGCCTTGCCAGCCTGACTTCAGTCCTGAGCACTCTAGGGCAGAGAACATCCTAGAATGTCCCAGTTTTGCTAGCATAGCCACTTTTGAAAGTTTAACAGAAAGGCCACCTTCTGAAAAGGCAGACACCGCCTCACACTATTCTGTAGATGCAGAGGGCTACTATACCTCCATGCACTTTGACTGTGGTCTTAAAGGTAGCAAAAGCTTCACTTATAACTATGCATCTGTAGACCAGCAGCAGGCAGAATATGGACATCAAACAAACACACTTGGGAGAAATAGTCTCTCTCTAAGGAAACCAAAGGTGAAGCCATCCCCGCCAAAACGTAGCTCATCCTTGAGGACAATAAGCAGCCATGTTGGACCTCCCACTAACAAGAACGAACCAAAGATCGCTGGTGGTCAGAACAAATCAACGTCTTCCCGGGAGAGAACTCAGCATGTGGGATTAAACGGAGGCTCCTCGAGTCAGCTGGAGAGTGAGGAGCCACTGGGGGCTTGGGGTGTTGAGAGTTCTACAGAGATTCCAGAAGTTGCTTTGTTTGGCTCCACAGAAACACATTCCTTTAAGGATGAGGGAGCTGTCCAGTCAGACTATGCAGATCTCTGGCTTCTTAATGACTTGAAATCCAATGATCCTTACAGATCATTGTCAAATTCCAGCACAGCTACGGGTACCACTGTCATTGAATGCATTAAATCACAGGAGAGCTCAGAATCCCAGACTTCCCAGTCAGGATCGAGGGCCACCACTCCTTCACTACCATCGGTGGAAAGCGAGTTTAGATTGCCTTCACCAGAAAAGCTGGTGGGTCTAGCATCACCTTCCAGTGGCTACTCAAGCCAGTCAGAGACACCAACATCTTCTCTACCATCGGCTTTCTTCCCGAACGCTCACCCAATGTCCCCTCCTGGTGGCAAGAGGAAACCCAAAGTCCCAGAAAGGAAGTCCTCACTTGCTTCTTTGCAGCAGTACTCATCCAAAAGGGACCTTGAATTGCCTATCATTCCTCCCACCCACCTTAACCTAAGTGCCCTTCCCAATGTCAGCAAGCCTTCAATTCACAAAAAGCAGATGCACATCCTGCACCAGAGCAAACACAAGGCAGCAGCTTCAGCAGAAACCAAGCGGGAGAGTCTTTCAAGTGATGAGCTGGCAATCACTAGTCCTTTGGCAATCACTCCTACAGTTCTTCGTTCAGTTCAGCTACGTTCAGTTGGCAAATCTGGAGAAGGGAGCTACGATCGACTTAGCACTGATACTGCCACTAGGCCTAAGTGTCCCACTGTGACTATCATCACCCCACCTACTCACAATAAACCCCATGAAACTAGGAAACCTCCACCCTATAGACCCCTTCTCACAGAACCTTCCTCTCAGGACAATTGTGAATCACTGTTTACCCCAGTAGATGGACTAGCTGGTAAGAATATAGCAAGCCATTTTGGTGCAAGAAATAGATATGACCGATTAGCCCCATCCCCTCTTTGGAGCATGACTGCTTTTAAGGCCCAGTCTGATGAGGAGAACATGGATGAACTGACATTGGGGAATTCTCGAGAAGTTGCCGAAAAGGTGAGCACCTCAAATAGTTTCTTTCCCCAGAGTAGTCTGGAAGTAGAGCAAAACCAGCCTTTGAGATCTGAGCCAAACGAGGGAAGCCCTGGTCAGAATGGTCTAGCAAAGAGGTCAGATATTCTTGACCAAGTGCCTGATATTGTCAAGCAAAGATCAGAGATATTGCAAGCTTTTCCAATTAGCGGTGCTGGAGAAGAATCTGTAACATCAGGTGTTCCAACCAGAAGTGCCTCACAGGAACATGTAGAGGAAGGGTCAACACCAGACACAGAAGACTATTTTAGCAGAGGTATGTTTGTGTTATCTTTCCATTACTAGGTAAACTAGCTGCCATGCTCTGTAATATTTCAGACATTTTGAATTGGAATGAGTTTCAGAGTTTCTATTTCAGAGTCCACACCAAGCGATCCAACAGTGTCCCCTCTGACTGACGAATCCAAATCTGAGGATGATAGCGTTTTTCTTTCACCAAGTAAAAGTCGCACAACAGAGGATCTCTTTGCCATGATTCACAGGTGTGTTTCAAGTTTGGTATATTTTTGATGATCAGAAAAAAAGTTTTTTAACTCCTTCCCCCAGCATTTTTGAAAAACGTTGCTTGCGAGCACCAGCACTTTTGATATTTTTCAATGGCGGGGATAGAGTAAAAAATCCCCAAATTCTTATCGTCTCTTATTTGTGTTTTTCCATCTTAGGTCAAAACGAAAAATGCTGGGCAGGAAAGATTCTGGAGAATCAGTGCGGAGCCGTTTAACCATTGTCGCTGGGAATGGCTCTGCAACTAATCCTGCAACTTCGCCAAGCACCCCAAACGTGCCTGCAAGTCCACCTATTCAAACTCAGCGAACCCCGGGTCCAATTTATAGGAGTGCCAAAAAATCCAGTACCTCAAATGAAGAGTTCAAATTGCTGCTGTTGAAAAAGGGAAGTCGATCCGACTCTAGTTATCGCATGTCAGCTACGGAGATCCTAAAGAGCCCAATTGCGCCCAAAAGCCCCGGTGAGCTCCTGATGGAGGGTTCTAGACCACTTGAGGAGCCACTTTCTCCTTTACAACAGCAGTTTCCAGAGGGAAATCATGATCAAATCCACAGCCCCTTTCCAAAATCGTATGCTGAGGGCTTCTCCACAAAAGCTTTTCCCACATCTGCCTCATCTAGACAAGGCCGGTCAAGGATGCCACCAGCTGCAAATAGTAGCCGCTACAGTACACGCAGTCGGCTGTACACTGCTCCCATGCAGGCCATATCAGAAGGGGAAACAGAAAACTCAGATGGAAGCCCACACGATGACCGTTCCTCCTGAAAAATTCAAAATTGAGCATCAACTAAGTCTAGACACAATCTTTGACATTTAGTCAATAATGCTGTGCTCTTGGCATACTATATATTTTTTAAGTATCTGTTCTTAAGAAGACCGTAAACCATAGACAAACTACATAGTGTCTGTACCCTTTTGTATCAAAAAGAACAAATCATTCTGATGATGGTTTCAGTGGTGGTGTTCCAATAACTTCCATGAGCATATTTATTTAATGTAAATGCTTTGTTTGTGTACCATTCATTTGAGAATGAGAGTGGAGAAAACTACATGCTAAAAATCCATCACTTTGTAATTATTCACGGATGCTTTTTGTCACAATTAACATTGTCTAGAAACAGTACTGTACAGGGGTAACTGTGAAAATGGGTCCAGAAGATGTTAAAAGAAGGGAAATCTTTCTTGTACCTTAAACACATACTGTTTATGGCAAACAGCTTGGGACAATCAAAGAGTGGCCTTTTGTATAGATAGCTGTAGCATAAATGGGCTAAGTACTTCTGAGTTAGCCAGCAACTGGATCATATTGGGCAAGAGATGTAGCTGAGTTGGGTTATCCTGATGGCCAACCAATATTTTGCACTTCTTTTGGTACTGAGAAAATATCAGACATTTTTGAGAAATCTTATAAAATGCCACAAAAGAAAAAGTGACATAAAAATAAATATCTACAAATAGAATAGGATTTTTTAAAATGTATTTTAATGAGATTTACGATCTGGAAAATTGTCCATTTTGGCATTTTTAAGATATTGAAAGACTTTTAATGCGACATCTAATTTTAAAGCAATTGAATGACGACATGATTCTTCCCTTCCATTCAATATTTATATATTTTTTAAGCAAATTTCTTAAAAAATAAATAAATCAACCCATTGTTTCTACAACAGCTACAACACGGGCACTAGATGTATTCTGTGAATACCGTACCAATCGTTTCTCATATATTAATGATTCTGCTCATTGTAAAGTGACGTTTTTGGTTATTGATCACTGACCCACAAAGCAGGACTAATACTGTGCAAGCTTTTTACAGCCAACTTGAAATTATGCCTCTACCGCAGTGGTTGTAGCTTTTATATATTTCACTTTAATAGATCGACTTAACTGCATGCAATAAAACTTCAGAGCGGAGCCGATATTGGTACGTCATTTTTTGAGAGCATCAATGAATTTGCATCATCAGTATGTCTGTTTTTGTCCTAATATATCAGATCGAAACACTGTTGACAATCTTTTTCAAAGACATTTATATGTAGTAAAATGGACTATGGCAGAATAACGTGTAGAAGGACAAGTAGAAGTTTGTAGAAGTGTGTAGTGAAAGTGCTTTTGGTCAGTCGGCTTTTGGGGTTTGTGTTGCTTTGGGTTTGAGTTTGCGATGTTGAGAGGGCAATGAGGAAAGTTACTAGAAGGACTTTAAGTTGGGTATCGTCCTAGACACTGAAGGAAAACAAGTAGCACAGACAATACAAAATATCCAAAGAAAGACTACAGAGATGTAGAGTCACGTCAGACTGAGACAGAGCAAGTCTGCAGTAAGAGGGGTTTGCGTCTTAAAGACTCATACATAGACGATATTTCTTTGCTGGATCAGTAAATCTGTGCGTATGAGGATGTGCTGAAAATGGTGCGAATCAAAGAAGAGAGGTTGTAAAAAAGATTGAACGTGGATTTGCACTACTGTTTTGGTTATCGTTCTTTAAATCAGTTTCCAAGACTCACCTCATGCTTTTCATTTTGGTACGGAAGTGTAAGAGATAACTAGTGTCTATGAAATATTGGGCTTTGATCAATTTATGCCTGCAGATTTATTTATGGACTTTTTCTTTCAGAGGTTAAGCTTTATTGGGAAAACACTGGTTTTAAAAGAGATTAATCTAACACAGAAAATAAAACCACTTATAAATAATATAAAAAATACTAATGACATAAGCTACCGTGTTAATGAACCTTTGAAACCTAATGATGTCCAGTGGTGTATTTGGCATTTCTCTCCTTTGTACCATTGACCGCCTGGTGTTTTTGCGACTTACCTTGCTATTGGTGTGAGATTCAGTCTTTGGATAATTTACTGGACCAAGTATTTGAGCTGTCTTCAGCTATTTGATCACTAACACCTACCCGCAACTATCTAGCTTTAGGTAAAGATGTTATACAAAGGGAAAAACACAACTACAAATCTAAGCAATCTTAAGACTTCCATCACTATCCATCTCTAAGACAGAGGTAAACGATTTTGTAAGCTACCATTCCAACATTGTAAAGTCTAACCTTAAAATTTGCACTGATGTAGTATGTTTGTGAAGGTTTTCACATTGTCTATTGCTGTACCTAAGGCTATTTAAACAGGAATAGTTAACACAATCAGTTATGAGTTGAGAAAAAAAAAATCTAATATTGTTAAAGCATGCTTGGTGAATGGTAACATGCAAAGATTTGTGTACCAAAGGATTTCAGAGTTGGACAAACACTGTACTGAACACACAGTTATGTGACGTCTCTCCTGGTACTAGACTGAAGTCTTCAAGCAACTAATGTTTTTTTCTTCTTCTTTTTTTTGTACAAATTTGTAAATATAATACCTTTTAAAATTGTTTCCAGGGTGTTTCTTATGTAAAATGTTTTCAAAGTTTACATTAATTATAAGCCTTTGTATATTTTTGATCTGTGCAACACTTTTGAGTCTTGTATTTATTTTTTAGTAAACTTTGTGGAAAGTCCCATTGTAAAATGTCTCGAAAACCGTTTGCCAGCTCGTCTGGCTGTTTAGTAAATGTGCATAGAAGAGGCCAATAAATGTGACTGCTTTAAACACCTAAACACGTCTGTGTGTGTGTGTGTGTACTGTGTACATGTTCATTTATCAAGACAGCTGAATATGCTGAATTAAATGAAGTCTGGTAAATCATGCCACATTTAAACAGTTCATATAAAACTCAATGCAGTGATTTCAATAGTGAGTTTGAGATGTTGTGGAATAAAATGAAAGGCCTTTTGTTAATGAAGTGTTAAGAAGCTGCTCTTACATGCCCCACTTTGACAGGTGTGTTTGTAGTTTTCAGTTTTGAAACGGTTTACTACATGTTTTAGTTCTGTGTGAGCCTTGTAACCCACTAATGAGTTAATTCCTGTGGTTTAGGTCGATTAGTAAAGACAGGTGTCACAGGTTACACCCTCGGCTCGAGGCGCACCAGGGATGGAGAAAGAATTTTAATGTGTAACCTTGCAATAACACTTAAGTCTTTATATATAATGCATTATAAAAGTATTTTAATGCATTAATTATGCCTTGTAATGCAATGTATGGTCTCTCAAATAATTGTAACCACAGTTATAATACTTATGTATTCATTGTACACAACTTTAGAAAGCAATGCATTAAAACATGACAAACCACCAATTTGCATAATATTATAATGCATTTTAACTTTTATTACAATTATTTATGAAAGGATATTATATATTATAGCATTAATTATGAACACCTTTATAATGCATAGAGGCTTTAATTAAAGTGTTACCACTTTAAGTGTAAATGTATTGAAGGATGAATATGACTATTTATAGTATGATTTGTGTGACCAGAAAAAACAAAAACAACGGGAGTTATTTTATTTTTGCGTTTATTGTTTGGTATAGATCTACCAGCAGAGGCTAACCAGCCGAACATTCAAACCCAAACCTTTTGTTCAAGTGGGATGAATATTGCCCATAAGTATAACATCTTATACAAGGACATAATTTAAATGTGACAGTGAAACATTCACACTCCCTTTAATAATCCTGGATAATATGCACCTTGAAAAGCCCCATGTTTAAACTGTGTGGGTTAAGACAAGACTGAAGCCTCAGTGTAGTTATCAATGTCTTGAGAATGTAGATGTTTGTGCTCTGCTCACTAGATGAAGCCAAGGTTTCTCAGCGGCCTTTGACCAAGATGTTTGCGACTCCATGCACCTGAGTGAGCTGAGGACAGTCAAGTGTTGCTAGAAGCTTCTGTGAGCCGGAGCGATTGGGAACTAATGTCTCTGTCAGACTCATTGTGGCTTGGGCTGCGATATCACTGAGAGAAAATATGAAAGATGATTATTTGATAAAATATATTATGTATATATAAAATAGTATGACAAATTTGTTACATATTTTATCAGCATATTGCGTAGTTGTACTTGGATTAAATTATTTTATTTGTGATAATAATGCAATGAAACATGCAAAGCAGTCATACAAAGAAATTATGAACACATGCAAAAATGAGAAAAAAGCCATAAAATATTAACTGAGTTAAATGTTGTAGTCAGTTATGCATAGTAGAATAAATCCTGTAGCTGTAGATTGTCTAATAATTTTGGCAGATAAATACCTTAACCAACTTTAGTGTTTTGTTCTTCCCTCATATTTAAAAAATATATAATATTTTCCTCATATTTTGAGGGTTTAATTGAACTTGTACAGTCATTAAAATCAAATATCATCTACTGACATCACTTTTGGCCACCAATGTGTATTGGTAGTTAGTAGTAAAAAATAAATAAAAATAAATAAATAAATAAATAAATATATATATATATACAGTGGTGTGAAAAAGTGTTTGCCCCCTTTGTAAATATGATCAGAGATGGCTGTAAAAAATAAATCTGCATTGTTAATCCTTTTGATATTTTATTTAAAAAAATTGAAAAAATCTAACCTTTCATTGAAGTAAAAGAATTGAAAGTTTGGGGAAAATCACATTATGAAATAAATGTTTTTCTCCAAAACACGTTGGGAACAATTATTTGCCCCCTTTTATTAAATACTTTTTGCAACCTCCTTTTTCCAAGATACCAGCTCTGAGTCTTCTCTTATAATGCCTGATGAGTTTAGAGAACACCTGACAAGAGATCAGAGACCATTCCTCCATACAGAATCTCTCCAGATCCTTCAGATTCCCAGATCCATGTTGATGCTTCTTCTCTTCAGTTCAGCCCACTCATTTTCTATGGGTTCAGGTCAGGGACTGGGATGGCCATTGCAGATGCTTGGTTTTGTGCTCAGTGACACATTTTTGTTTTGATTTTGATGCTTGTTTTTGGATCACTGTCCTGTTGGAAGATCCAACCACAGCCCATTATAAGATTTCTAGCAGAGGCTGTCAGGTTTTGATTTTTTATCTGTTGGTATTTGAACGAATCCATGATGCCATATATCTGAACAAGATGTCCAGGACTTCTGGCAGAAAATTAGGCCCACAACATTAAAGATACAGCAGAGTATTTCATTCTAAACATGGGGCACTTTTTTATCCCTGTGTGCACCAAACCCACATTAAGTGTTTGCTGCCAAAAAGCTCTTTTTTTTGTTTCATCTGACCATAGAACGTTTGAAAAGTAACTGACACTACAGGAACTTCAAATGGGATGGGTTTCTCTGGTCAGATGAAACAAAAAAATTTGCTTTTTTGGCAGCAAACACTTAAGATGGGTTAGGTTCATACAGGTATAAAAAGTACCCCATGTGTAGAATGAAATACTCTGCTGTATCTTTAATGTTGTGGGCCTAATTTTCTGCCAGAAGTCCTGGACATCTTGTTCAGATATATGGCATCATGGATTCGTTCAAATACCAACAGATAAAAAATCAAAACCTGACAGCCTCTGCTAGAAATCTTATAATGGGCTGTGGTTGGATCTTCCAACAGGACAGTGATCCAAAAACAAGCATCAAAATCAAAACAAAAATGTGTCACTGAGCACAAAACCAAGCATCTGCAATGGCCATCCCAGTCCCTGACCTGAACCCATAGAAAATGAGTGGGCTGAACTGAAGAGAAGAAGCATCAACATGGATCTGGGAATCTGAAGGATCTGGAGAGATTCTGTATGGAGGAATGGTCTCTGATCTCTTGTCAGGTGTTCTCTAAACTCATCAGGCATTATAAGAGAAGACTCAGAGCTGGTATCTTGGAAAAAGGAGGTTGCAAAAAGTATTTAATAAAAGGGGGCAAATAATTGTTCCCAAAGTGTTTTGGAGAAAAACATTTATTTCATAATGTGATTTTCCCCAAACTTTCAATTCTTTTACTTCAATGAAAGGTTAGATTTTTTCAAATTTTTTAAATAAAATATCAAAAGGATTAACAATGCAGATGTATTTTTTACAGCCATCTCTGATCATATTTACAAAGGGGGCAAACACTTTTTCACACCACTGTTTATATACCAACATATCATTTATAATCAACATCAAATTTTAATACATGAAAAATGCATAGACTTCAATGAAGGATCCAGAGTTTTTAATGAATCGACTGAAACAGACTTTGGTGAAGTAATTCAGCAAACCTAATTCACCAAATTCACTATTGAAGTTTAAATCAGAGAAACCAGTAAAACATTATGTCTTAAAGGTAGGGATGCACGATATAGGAATTTGGCCGATATTCGATATGCCGATATTTTCAAACTAATTTTGCCCGATGCCGATACCGATACCGATATATTTGTATTTTTTTTTAAGTGCAAAAAAAGCTTATTAAAGCTTCTATTAATGTTCTCAGTCAAGAGCAGTGTGTGATTTCCTCTGTGTTTTGTTGTTTTATTAACATTAACGGGATAGTTCTCCCAAAAATTTAAATTGTCATCATTTACTCTCTCAAGTTTCTTTCTTCTGTTGAAATTATAAAAGTTATTTGGAAGAATGTGGCTTACCAAACAGTTGCTGTACTTTAGTGACTTCCATAGTATATTTAAGCACAAGAAAGAAATGAATCCAGGTTTGAAACAACATTAGATAGACAGAATTTTTATTTCTGGGTGCAGTATCTCTTTAAAGACAAGCGGCAGAATATTATTACTGTCTCTTTAAGAACTGCACGCGAGTAACGCGACGCGTCTAATATACACGCATTTGACACGCAGATTTTCTCTGTTTGCTTTCACTTTAGACATAACCAACTTTATGTAAACCTTGTGTGTATTTGACAGTATCAGCGCAATAAGACTCGAAAGATAAGTTAGTCCAGTATGCAGGCGCTGTGACGGCTTTAGTTCCTGTGAGCGTCGGGTGTAACGCGCTCAGAAAAGCGGATGTTAGAACAGCGCATCAGCACGTGAATGACATGTTTACCTAGCAAGACTTTGACGCACATGCAAACAATGAACTTTTGTGAATTGCAGTGTCCCGTGAGTGTAACTGTACCTCTGCGTTTACATGTGATGTGATGTGAATGTACGTCGCGTTGTACAGTATGTTGAGATGAAGGCGCCAGAATTGAACTGATAGAATGCACGATACTATGATTTTTCTTCAAAAGCAGATCGTGGAGACATTTTAATCGTCCATGATCAAAAACCGTGAGACGCACACTCCTAGTTGGAAGTTTAAGTTGCTGGCGCTCATGCTTTGTTCACGGTCGTCACGTGCGCATAGGAAACACGCCACCCTATCGGCAAGACTCATCGGCAGAAATATTCATATCGGCCGATGCCGATGATGGTCATTTTAGCTTTTATCGGCCGATACCGATGTTGTCCCGATATCATCGTGCATCCCTACTTAAAGGAGAACTCCGGCGAAAAATGAACCTTTGGTCTAATTACACATTGTTACCTAGTCAACCGTTATCTGAGATTTGTTTTCATGATTATCGAATGTAAATAGTTTTATCTCTAAAAACAGTTTAGCCTATAAAGCTAGTATAACGCTAGTATATTGGGCATAGATCAATGACAAATAAAAATCGCTTGTTAATACCACTAACAAGGCTCAAAATAGCCCCACACTAACACGGTAGCATAATGAGGGTCCCTACCTTCAAACCGAAGCATTGAGAACTTTGTCAGTGTCCAGACAGTTTAATAAGAAGATATTTAATACATACAGTCAACTTCACGTATACAGGCAGGAGCCATCTTTGAAATACAGCCTTTACCAGTCGATCTACGAACGCCGATCCAAGTGCGCTGGTGAGATGTGAACGAGCTATAAGTTGTGATAAGGTGAGCGCGAACAGCAGGCTTGGATCGGCGTTCGTAGATCGACTGGTAAAGGCTGTATTTCAAAGATGGCTCCTGCTTGTATACGCGAAGTTGACTGTATGTATTAAATATCTTCTTATTAAACTGTCTGGACACTGACAAAGTTCTCAATGCTTCGGTTTGAAGGTAGGGACCCTCATTATGCTACCGTGTTAGTGTGGGGCTATTTTGAGCCTTGTTAGTGGTATTAACAAGCGATTTTTATTTGTCATTGATCTATGCCCAATATACTAGCGTTATACTAGCTTTATAGGCTAAACTGTTTTTAGAGATAAAACTATTTACATTCGATAATCATGAAAACAAATCTCAGAGAACGGTTGACTAGGTACCAATGTGTAATTAGACCAAAGGTTCATTTTGCGCCGGAGTTCTCCTTTAATACTCTTATACTCACAAGCCAATGAAGGATTGTATAATTAATCTTCTTTAGAAAACGGATTTTTCTTAAATTTAGTAAAAAAAAAAAAATTAAGGTGACGTGGTGTGTGCTTTCTATTGTAATAACAGTAAATTATGCATAATTACAAGTAACTAACCGTAACTCTATAGTATGTACATGTAGTTCATTAATATTACTCAGTACTTATTTGAGTAAGTACAACGTGTAACCTAACCTTTTTTTTTTTTTAAGCAGCAAAATCATAGTGAACATTCATTGATAAAAAACACTTCATCAGAAAACAGTTTGATTCAGTGAATGCAAATGAACGTCTTACCCGTAGTGAGTGGTTTTGACATTCTGCATTCCCAGCCCCTCGATCCGGATCACGACGTCCTTCAGGACACGGGGCAGTGGGTTCTGGAATTTGATCTTGACTGTCAGCTCTCTGCCCACTACAGCATCACATACAGGCTGAGAGAGAAAACCGCATTAATGCATCATGGCCAGCCAGCTGGGTAATATTCTCAGCAGGAGTCGTTTAAACTCACAGCGATGATGAGGTCTGGGGTACGCAGTCTGAAGCTGAACTGTTTGGCCAGACTTTGTTTGGTCTCAGTGACCCGTCCCGAGAGAGTGAGCACCAGAGCCGACTGACCCAGCAGCTTCTCCTTATATTCCTCATAGTGCAGGGTCCACTCCAGAGACCGCACTACACAGCCGAAACATTCATGAGACTCCAAACACACATCACCATTTAAAATGGACTATATTAATAAGAACAATTGGTTACAACTACCATATCAGTTATTGAATTACATTGGTTTTGTCTTATTTACAAGTTCTATACCAGTGTTATTTTATTTTAGTATTATTTATAGGTCTATACTATAATAGAATTTGTTACTTTCATTTTTATATTTTGCATTTTTAATGTCAATTTTTGTTTTAGTAATTTGCGTTTTAAAATATTTTTAAATAGGTTTAATTAACTGTTAATGCAGTTGTAGTTTTAGTCATTTTAGTACTTCAATTTAAAAATTATTTCAGTTAATTAACACTTTGTGTTACCACATTAATAATAATAATAATAACAATATTTGGTTGCAAGTACAATACAATAACCATTAATGTTACCATTGTGTTAATACAATATACATATTAGATAAACTTAAAAAAACTGAAATGAAAATGAACTGAAATTATTTTATTTATTTATTGTTAAATAGTGTTATTATTATAATAATATTACTATAATAATAACAAATATTGTTATTATTAATATGGTAACACTTTACTAAAGTGTCACCATATTAATAATAATAACAACAATATTTGGTTACAAGTACCATATGAATTATTGAATTAAAATATAATTAATTTGGTTTCACCTTATTTACAAGTAGACAACAATACCAGTGTTATTAGTATTATTAACATACTTCTATAGTATTTACTGTTTTTAATTAGCTTGTATTTTTATATTTTCTGTTTTTAAATTAATTTTAAAGGTTTTGTTGTGTGCTTTTGTCCTTTTTATTTGTTTGTTTGTCTGATACGTTTTTCATCTAATATTTATATTTTATTATTCATAATGATAATAAAATGTAGTAACTAGTATCATCTGGGTTATTGAATTAAATGGAATGTTAGTAGAATTAAAAAGGTTTAGTCCTATTTTACTAGTATACAACACTCTACCAGTGTTACTTTAATATTATTTATATACTATTATAGTATGTAATAATATTTGTAATATTTAATAATTAAGTTTTATTTTATTTTATTTTAAGTTCTTTGTTGTGGTTTTTCTTTGATATTATTTAGATATTTATAGTAAGTTATTTAGCTTTAAGTGTTATTGCAGTTGTAGTTTAGTACTTCAGTTTAAAAACGTAAAATAAAATTAAAATAAAAAACTGAAAATATATTAAAGTCATCCAAACAAGTTTCGGTTTTAGTAATTGTTATGTGCCTTTTCATTGTTATTGTTTTGTTTGTTTTTTCAAATTTCTATATCTTTAATTTAGTGTTATAGCGTTTCTAATTTTCTTTTAAGGTTAAGTGTTTCATCTAATATTTATGTTTTAGCTTTATTTCAATGACCAAAAAATGACTAACAATTGTTAAGTATCACGAATGTCTCATGTGTTGTTCTGCTGCTGAGATCATCTCCTCTCACCTTCATGGGGCTTGAGCTCAACACTGGTCTGGTCCTTCTTCAGGACGATCTTGTTGGCTGTCGCCTGGCTGTAGAGATCAACACTGCGAGGAGCGCTGCTGTTGTTCTTCAGAAGGATGGACAGCTCAGCATCCTGACCAACACATGGTCCATCCCCCCGGATGGACACGTCAACAGTCACATCACTGGCACTGGTGGGAGAGTAGACGGATCGCTTGGAGCCGAAGCTACAGGCCGCTTCCACAGCTTTGCGCTCCTCCGACGAACCTGATCAACGAGAGGGCAGGGATAATTATAAGCACATTTTTAATGTTGTTTATATGTCTGGGTGGTGTTTTTAATATGCTTTAAGACAAACCATGTGCAAATTCATCAGTCATGTTACTAAATGTTACTATTGTTTTTGAATTTTCACAATGCTTTATATTAGTGCTGTCAAATCAAATAATCATGATTAATCACATCTAACATAAAAATTTGTAAATACATTTTATATATATATATATATATATTAAACATGAAGATTTGTAAAAAAAAAAATTATATATGAGTGTGTGTGATATCACACACACACTCATATATAATATTTTTTACTGATTTTCATGTTAGATGCGATTAATCACGATTAATCGATTTGATAGCACTACTTTTTGTATAAAGTTTTACATTTTTGAAGTACATTTTAAAATTGTGCTTTATAAATACATTTGAATTTGATACTCTATAGTATATATATATATAATAATTATGTATTTTTAAAATTAAGCATGTAAACGTTTTTGTCACGTTTAAGTGCAAACCTTATCACAACTGTCAAGTCATTATTTAATGTGTATTTTCACCTTCTGGGTGTTTGTAGAGGTGTGTGATGTCCACACGTTTGTCTGAGCCAACATCTTTGGTGCTGATGCAGTGACCCACTGCGCTCTTGTCAACCCGAATCACATCGAAGGTCCCGTTAGTTTTGCGCTGCCAGTAGACTTTATCGCTGTTCACCTACAACACAAAGAGCCAAATATTTAGTACCGTACTAGCACACCATATTATAAAACTACGTGGTGAGATTATGTGCGACAGATAGAAATATGAGGCAGATATGCTAATAAAACATTAGATATCATTAAACATAAATAGGAAAGTAATTAGCATACTTCAGCAAAAACGAAGCCCGTGTCATATTTGAGGAAGGTCTGTCCACTGCGGACCGCAGCAACAGATGTTGGGCCGCAGCAGAAGACGCCCTGGCTGGTCTCCTGAGGAGTGGAGTCAACCACCTGCCAACCCCCAAAACCAGATGGCAGGTCGGGACGGGACATCCAGGCCTCATTCCACACGTGGAAGTTCCTACATAGAGAGAAAAGCAGCAACTTTAAAGGAATAGTTCACCAAAAAATTTAATTATCCCATAATGTACTCACCCTCAAGCCATCTTAGGTGTACCGTATATGACTTTCTTTTTTCAGCCGAACACAATCGGAGTTATATTAAATGATATTTCATGGCTTTTCCCAGCTTTGTAATGGAATTGAATAGTGACCGAATAGTGACCAGCTGTTGCTGGAAGCCAGGGATTATAGTTCATAAAGTTTTAAATATGGATATTTTTCTTACAAAAACCCATCGCTTTGCTTCAGAAGGCATTTATTAATCCACTGGAGTCATATGGATTACTTGTGAGCTTTTTGGAGCTTCAAAAACTTTGGCACTATTCAATGCCATTACAAAGCATGGATGTTGTTAAATAAAGCTCTGATTGAGTTTGACTGAAAGAAGAAAGTCATACACCTAGGATTTAGGGTGAGTAAATTATGGGGCATTTTTGGGCGAACTATTCCTTTAACGTTGTCAAATTATTAAAACAATAATGAACCTACAACTTTTATGAAATCACAAATAGCATACTTCATGAGGCATCCTGCAATTGCATAACACACTGCAGTATCATGGAAAAGGGAAAATGGGTTTATACTTAAAATAAAATATTAAAAACATTAAACTTATTTATTCCAGCTAGTTGCCACATTTCCCATTTTAATGTAACGTTAGTTTAAATTGATGTAGGCCTACCAAAATAACAATTAATAAAAACTGTAGGCTACAGACTAGACATTTCGAAGATAAATAAAATTAGGCTATTTTAACTAAATTAAACTACTATAATTCAACTATACTTAAAATAAAAACAAAAAATAGAAAATAAAAACAAATTCAAATTCAATATATATATATATATATATATATATATATATATATATATATATATATATATATATATATATATATATATATATATTTAGCATTGCGACGATAGTAAAATAACACGTGAATACAAACACGATCTTACCAGATTGAATCCCGGTTAAGGTCTTTAATTTCTTTAAGATTCTCGTCTAAATAAACATCTGTTGTCAAGGAACTGTCAGTGTCATGAGCAGAACTGAAGTTTGAGACTGGACGTGTGGGAATGCCAAAACACCGACACACTGAGAGAAAAAGAGAGAAACATTAACAAAGTGCCCAAGATTTCATATATTTCCCAACCTCTCTGGTCGAGTTTCCATTTAGCCTAATAAACGTGCAATTTGTATTTGGATGTTGTTGATACGCAAAAAAAGACAAAACTCGTTTGTGAATGGAATTCGTTCTGATCTGCCTGTCCTCGCTTCCGTCAAGTTTGTAAAACAAACCCTCGCATTACACTTCAGTTCAGCGGGAGCTCTGGGTCTGGACTGTCACGAAAACTCACAATAAAGGTAATAACTTATAAGGTACTAGGCAATTTTCGGAGAGACTAGCAATAGCGAGCTAGCTTTGGAAGCATAAGATCCAGCCATCCCTTCACTCCAAAGCCACGCCTCCTTCAAACACATGAAGGGAGCAAACAAAAGCGATTTAAACTACCTCATGTCTCAAAGCAGTGAAAGCACATCACATTACATTAATAATATATATATATATATATATATATATATATATATATATATATATATATATATATATATATATATATATATATATATATATATATATGTATATATATACACACACACACACATTTAGACAAATTAATTAGTGATAGCTATCAGGATATGAATAGACTTTCTGCCAGCATAACAAAACATGTATCTGGAACAAATCACCTAGGCCTACTCTGCGTTTAATAGGCCTACATTATTAATACATCGTTCATGGAATGTTTATTTCTGAATTGTTTTAGTTGGACGTTCATTTAACATTTTTGAAATGTTACTAGGCTACAACTTACTTCAGAACATTCAAAAGTAACGTTCCCATAGGCCTAAATGTTTGCAAAATGATTAAATGAACATAATCACATAAAAATGGTTTGAACATTCAAAAATAACATTTCCATAACTTAATGGTTCTTAGAACATATTTTTGTTAGCTGGACTAATTGCACTTTTTTCATTAATTGTACATCGCTAATGTAAATAGGCCTATTGTGTGGGGAAAATATATCTGTTTTCTACATACAGAAGCAACTTTATATAGATAAACATTGTGTCATGATCACATGTTAATGCCAAGTGTAAACAGGGCCTCTTTTAAGGGTGTAAGTGACAACACTTTGATTATATTTCTTTACTAAACGATGGTCATGATTCAATTCAATTAACCTTTTGGTACTATGCAGAATTGCTAGACATAAATATATGATTTTATAAAAAAAAACCTTATTTTTATTTAGCTCAATTGCAATGCTTCACTCTCTATGTTAGACAACAGCAGTATACGCACTTGTAGGAAAGCTGGTTCTATCCTCATGTTAAATTTTAGGCCCCTATTCTGTATCATTGTCAATAATGCTCAATAAAATATTACGTGTGTTGGTGACTCCAGCAAAGACCCAGCACTGTCCAAATTTGACAGGTATTCCTTTACTGTTGTGGTATTGTTTCAGGATGGCACTGCTTCCACTCCAGGCTGTTGGAGAAAGTCCTCCCTCATAGGTATTTTGCCAGTTACCCATCAGCACACCTTGATCGTCATTGGAATTGACCTGACACATTGACAAAATGATGTTATCTGCTTCACGTCATCACGATTCATTGATCATCACTGAGCTGCAGACCTTATCAGTCGTCCTTACACAACAACCGAGCATGGAAAAACCCAATGTTGGTAAAAAGAGAGTCCAGACCTACCATGGCAGACACCACTCTGACTATGTTAACAGGGTCTCCCCATCCCGAGCAAGGACTGCCACTTTTCTCCAACACAAAGAAACAAGCCGCCAAGACTCCTTCATCAAACTAAGAATCACAGATCAGAGGTTGGAGATTGAAACAAGCACATTACAGAAAATAAAAGTTTGAAATGTTGTCTTGAAAATAATGCAACATGGGTTTTCTACTTCATGGAAATATGGCTCAATATCTGCAATATATCCCAACTAACAAGTTTAGGTTCCCAGGACGTTCTAGGAATATACATTTTTGGGTCTCAGAACGTTTTTCCATTTTTACCTCTAAAGTCGGAGAACTATTCTGCAATCATGATTCAATGTTTCAACAATAGCTTGTATTGATCCACTGTTAAATTATTCTTTTACGCATTTGCCAGCCACTTTTATTCAAATTACGAGCTACACTAAAGAAAAGTTGCTACCTTAAATTGTTAAGTTGGATGTTTAAATAATTTCAAATGCAACTACATTAAGCTGACTTTAAAAAAAAAGTTGAATCTTGTATAACTGTAGTTTAAAAAAGTTGAAAATTGCTTAACTTATTTTGATGAGTTAAAGCAATGTAAAAACATATGTTGTCATAACTTATTGATCATATCATTTTTTACAGTGTTTTTGCAAATAATTAATTCTCTGGGAATCAAACCCTTGCCATTGTTAATGCAATGCTCTACTGTCTGAGCTCCAGGAAGGATAAAACAAACCTTCTTAAAACAAGTCAAATACATTTTCATTTGAAAAATAAAAAAAACTGATTAGCTGAACAGTATTAAGAATAATTCATAAAATCAGCCATTTGGAAACATTCTTAAGTTTTCACACACACACACACACACACACACACACACACACACACACACACACACACACACACACACACACACACACACACACACACACACACACACACACACACACACACACACACACACACACACACACACACACACACACACACACACACACAACTGCAAGTAATGTTAGTTTACGATTGTAAAAATTAATCGAAAATGAGAATGATGAGAATTCTTGAAAAATAACCAGATAATAACAGGAAACCTACATTTTACTGATACATTTAAACAACTAATGAAAACATGCCGTTTTTTTTTTTTTTTTTGAAATGTTGAAATTTTACCTGACCAAAATTCCAGGTTCTGGTACCAATCTGTTGCTCTGTTCCATAGTACAGTTTGCCCATATTATTCAGTACATATTCAGTCCTCTCAGCTTCATCATTCATGTACACAGAGTCATCTGTTAAGAACAGAAAGAGAGAGAAAGTTGACATTTCAATGGATTAGCTTCATTAACATTAGCCTGGGAAAACCCAGACAACTTCCGGCAAATTTAGATTTGCTCTGAAAGTTAGTCTGGCAAAGAGCTCATTCAAGCCCATTTCCAATCCGTCGAAATCAAGGCACCAATCAGAAACGTTGGGGCGGGCTTTACACGATGACGACAGCGCTGGGATTTTGAAGCAGATTTTGTAGCCTACATTACAAAGATGGATGCCGCCGTCGAACATCACTCGTTCCTATCAGCTATCGCGTCTGTCTTAAGAAATCACCGCATGTGTTTCATGCGCCAGCGCTCATTTATTCGACCAGACGATCTTCATAAAGTTATCCCAGAAAGGAAAAGTAACTCCGTTTCATCCAAATAACAAAGATTCGTCTGATGGAAGATGCCAGATGATACAGTTCGCTCTGCAACCTACACAGTGCCCTGCGAGGACTATGTTCATGTAGTGGCAGTTCTCAGTCCATTGTTTCCCATCTCCTCAGCTTCACTTATTCGCTGCAGAAGTTCTCGTCTCTCTAGGAGGAGCTGGTCGTTTTCTTCTGTCATTGTCCTAATCCAGTCCTTCTCTTTCTCTGAGAGACTTGTCGCAAGAGCCAGATCATTTTCCAGCTGCTGGATCCTGTGCTCATGTTGGGCGACTGTCTTCATGAAGATCTGTTTGCTCTTTTGTAAACATAATAGTTTCCTTTTAGTTAAAAACCGAGCAAAGAACAACACTCGGAGATGTGTCTCCGCCGCTCTGCATACGTCATCTCCTTCATCGCTCTGATTGGGTTTAGGTCTATCCGCGACGTCCGTTGGTGACGCCCCTCTGGAAATGATTAGTCTATGACGCTTTACCAGACCATAACTCAGTTACAACTGAGAATGGTCTGGTTTTAACCAGGCTACATTAACATGCAAGTTCACACTGTTATTTCATGATTCGGTCAAATGGTCCTATGCCTGCTACAGATTGTGCGATTTCAGCAATCCTATAAGATCATTACAAATCACACCGTACGACATGGATCTAATAAACTTGGATACGACATGTACAGTATGTAGACACTGTACGATGATGACACCCATTGAATCGTAGGCTAAAAACGCAAGTTAGTTGTAAGAAATGTCATTAGCATGTGCTAGTGGTAAATAAATAGAGCAAAATCAATCGCACTTTGGCAATTGTGATATTTATGTGCGCTGAAAATAGAGGAGGAAGCGAAAGAGGCCAACATGGCATGCCAATTTTGCAAATGGAGCTTGAGTAAAGTAGTTTTAAGTTATAGCACCATGACACGTTGATCAATACGGCATTTCATGTTGCATTTTTATTGGCTAGCAAACACTTTGGGCGCAAGGCCATGACGCCGGCCGTCTTTGAATCTATCTCACTGTACGACGTACGACCACCGCTTAGGAGCCAAGACCACAGAAATCGCCACGATTGGTCAACTTTTGTCTGGGACAGCCCAAAATCATACAATCTGTGTGTGTTAGTTTTAGGTATACTGATAGACACACACAGTGTCCCCTTCTAATAATACCTTTGCACCAGGGGTTGAACAGCATGTAAATGTCATTTTCAGGTGTGTCTGGTGAAGTGGCCTTTCCCGCCGGGCAGTTTGTGACCACAGTGAGTTTGTACCGTCCAATACAAGCGTTTGGGAGGGAGTAAACTGACAGTCTGATTGAAGTCTTCGCCTGTTCAACAATCTTTACCTCCCAGGCATCTTTCTTGAATTCCGACACTAATGGAACAATTACAAAACTGCCCTTGTGTACGGGTATGTCGTCACCTGCAAAACACACATACAAGAATCATTTTTATCAGGTGATACAAGACGGTTTGAATGGCAGGTGTATCAGCGTTTGCAACAGTGGGTACAGTAAAGCCATGACTGACCAAGTCTCAGCTCCAGCTGAAGTTGGTCTCTGTTTGGAACAAAAGGTCTGGACAGCTCAATAGACATCTGGAAACACTGTCCTCTACGGACGATGAGATGACTGCTAAAGAAACCATCCGTGTGATGCTCCTGTCGATTCTGTCCTTTGCTGGTCCTGATGAGGTCAATAGATCGTACCTGCAGTACTGCATCTAAACAATTAGACATATAAGGAAAGCTTAGCATGACAAACTAAAAAAATGTTATTTTAAATATAGTTTTGGTGATTTCTTGAGAAAACCTGTATATGGTTTCAGGTTCATGTGAGCCTGAGGTGAACGTGATTTCACCAAGTACAACATGATCCTGGAACAATCTTTTAAACAACCAATCAGATTTGAGGTACAAGTTTACAGTTAATATCAGGTTTAGGCTTACAACCAGAGTTAGGTGCATCTGGATCAGTGTTATTCACCTATCATTTCCCTCTGATTTTATGGATAAGTTATGGGTAGGGTTAGTTAGAATACATTTTCAGATAGGAATTCAACAAAATATGTCTTTCTTAGTGAAATCATGGTGACCCGACCCTGATTAGACGTGTGTCTTAGCATGCATTTACAAAAATTAATTTTGTATTCAAAAACTGCACGATACAGATCTATACAGTGAAGCCATCGCTAAAACATCACCAAGTACACCACAAACACATTAACATATTTATGTGTTTTAATATAAATACCCAGCAATTGTGTTTTCTGCATACTAAATTGATATACTTAAAGTCTGCTAAACTGGAGCAACTCATTTTGTACTTAGTTACCCAGAAATAGTGCTGAAATTCAACTAGAGATAGAAATATTTGATTGTGCTAAAGTGGAACTATTGCAAGTACTGTATACTTTAGGTACACTTTAAATATCTAATATTTAAAGACTGATATTATTCAGAGATCATACTATCCTTACTAATAGTGATATTAAACACATTTTAAGGCTTAATATTAATAAATGTGCACTGTGCAATAAAGTAGTACTCCAAATAAAGTTTATTTATATTAATATCAGTAAGTTTATGTATTTTAGGTTTTTTTTCACGAGGGATAGTATAAGCTTTGTCAATGCAACAATGACAATCAGACCTTATAATATTATTTACTATTATGCACTGCAGTATAAAGATATATCGCTCTTACCGTTCACTTCTACATGTGGACCCCTGAGAGGAAGAGAGAGACATTTTTCAAACTTTATTCTTAAAGCTATAATTACTTACAAAACAACGTTTAAATGGAATTAACATTTTTTTGTACTCATACAAGCTGAATTAACTGCAGAAAACTGGAGAAGAAGAGGGTGATAAATATTTTTCTGGCTTTCTCATCAAAATATAAGGATAAAAAATCCAAAATCTAAATTAGGATTATGTGCAAAATTAAACTAGATCACAAACACACACATAAAATAAATAGATAGATAGAATAGAATACTTACATGTTTGCGGTTGAATTCATTTGAAGAGTATTTGGATAGAGTAACTGCACCTAAACAACTTGAACTTCAGTCTGGAGGCAAAACTTCCTTCACTCGAATGTGTTTCTCCTGAGCAGCCATGATGTATATATTCACATCTTCATCTCCACCCCATCCACAGCTCAGAGCTGAAGAGTGTGAAGAATTTCATGTATCATGACAGAAATGTGTGTGTTGTTGAGGTTGAATCTCACAAGGTATTTTTAACATATTTAAATATGGCCTTAGTGCAATCTTTAAAGCGTCACTTAAATTAAGGTTGGTCTCATTTGTTGTAATGATGTCAAAGGAGTACTTAGAGATAATTATCATAACATTTTAACTGCCTCATTAAGACATTAATTTCTCAACTAAATTCTTAACTGATACGCAGGATTTCTATAATAAGGTGGCTAATACTGAGCCTCAAACACACGTGCACCAAAGGAACAGAATGAAAAACTCGAATTGTTTTTAGAAGCCCATTACTTAATGACAAGAAGCTTTTCATTTGTTATTTTAGACCCCTAGTGGTCTGTGAAAGTGCTAGGGGTCTGTGGAAAGATATATAAACAAGTAATTTTCTTAAAATACTGTATATAAAAACAGTTTCTGTATTTCTTATACATTGTTGTCTCTCTGAGGTTCATGGAGCCTTAATAGTCCAGTCATTTTATGAAAAAAGGTAGAACAAATTGCAACAGAAGCAAACTCAACTGATTTTGTATCCTCAATATGTCCTGAGTAAGGAAAAAAAGCCCAGAAGAATCCCATTAGGGGAAAGTTTCGAAAAAGACCCAAATATAGCCTATTCATATATACGCCTATTCATTCTTTTTCTCACGTGAATAGGGTAAACATTTTAACCTTTAGATATCATTCTGAAAATTACTGAGTTGATTACTTGCATCAAGACAAACAAAAAAATTATTACAAGTTTTTTTTAAATTGTTAGTTAACATGGACAAACGCTGCATAATCTAATTACGTATGTGCTAATTTGCATTAATACCACAACAGATCTAAACATTGGGTATAGCCAAGTGAAAATGTCTTGTTGAATCTTGTTGACATATATAACAGTAAAATATTTAATGTTAAGGTCTGAATGGAACCCATTTAGGCTACTCATGAGCATTAATACAGAGGCAGGAAGAAGTACTTTAGAAAGCAGCCTTTATTAATTATTATTGCAGAGATGGGGTTGGGGATGTGCCGTGGGACTGTTTCTGGGGGATGAGTCTGAGGGAAGAACAGGAGACACGGGTAAGGAGAATACAGAAGAACAAAAGCTAGGTAAAATAAAAAGTGGCTGGATCAAACAATCAAATTAATCCATGTAGGAGAAACAAAAGGAAATCTTTCTTGAGTGACGCAGCTTAGAGACAGTTAAGTGTGACAGAAGTTAAGTGGACCTTGAATGAATGACTGAATCTCTGGCCCTTATGGTGACATTTGTTTGCCTCTATAGTCTTTTACTGTAAGATGTCAACAAGATTCTACAAGACATTTTCACCTGGCTATACCAACATTTTTACCCTATTCACATGAGAAAAAGAATTAATAGGCATATGAATAGGCTATATTTGGGTCTTTTTCGAAACTTTCGAGATGGTCCTTACTGCAGAACACGAAATCCAGGGGGAGGAGCTGGATCCAGATCCAACTCCTCCCACCTTACATATACCTAAACCTACCCATCTCCGCCCCCTGATCCCTAACCCCATCCCTAATCCTACCCATCTCCACCCCCTGATCCCTAACCCAACCCCTAATCCTACCCATCTCCACCCCCTGATACCTAACCCCACCCCTAATCCTACCCATCTCCGCCCCCTGATCTCTAACCCCACCCCTAATCCTACCCATCTCCGCCCCCTAAACCCTAAACCCACCCCTAATCCTACCCATCTCCGCCCCCTGATCCCTAACCCCACCCCTAATCCTACCCATCTCCGCCCCCTGATCCCTAAACCCACCCCTAAACCTACCCATCTCCGCCCCCTGATCCCTAACCCCACCCCTAATCCTACCCATCTCCGCCCCCTGATCCCTAACCCCACCCCTAATCCTACCCCATCTCCGCCCCCTGATCCCTAAACCCACCCCTAAACCTACCCATCTCCGCCCCCTGATCCCTAACCCCACCCCTAATCCTACCCCATCTCCGCCCCCTGATCCCTAAACCCACCCCTAATCCTACCCATCTCCGCCCCCTGATCCCTAACCCCACCCCTATTCCTACCCCATCTCCGCCCCCTGATCCCTAACCCCACCCCTAATCCTACCCATCTCCGCCCCCTGATCCCTAACCCCACCCCTAATCCTACCCATCTCCGCCCCCTGATCCCTAACTCCACCCCTAATCCTACCCCATCTCCGCCCCCTGATCCCTAACCCCACCCCTAATCCTACCCATCTCCACCCCCTGATCTCTAACCCCACCCCTAATCCTACCCATCTCCGCCCCCTGATCTCTAACCCCACCCCTAATCCTACCCATCTCCGCCCCCACCCCTAATCCTACCCATCTCCACCCCTTAGATCTGGATCCAACTCCGCCCCCTGGATCTCGTGTACTGCAATGAGGTGCTACTGAAACTTTCCCCTAATGGGATTCTTCGGGGCTTTTTTTTTCTCCTTACTCGGGACATCAATCAGTTGAGTTTCCTTCTGTTGCTATAAGTGATTAAACCACAATACCATAACATTAACACATCCATTACACAACTCTGTATGAATAGACCAGACTTTTTAAATATTATAAAATGCACAATTATTGTGCGCTTAATATGTAATATAAATTATAATGCAAGTTATTATTAAGTGTGCAAAGCTATAAACCATCAGGAATGTTTGTTTAGTCAGAAATCTTTGTTTCAGCCATCACGCACATTGTAATTGGCATTCCACACTCCTTCATCTCCTTACCTAAAGAGGAACGAGTAATGATGATGGAATGTGCAGAGAACACCTTCCGTGAATGATTCAGCCGTGTGGAAAAACTGCTCATGACTTACATGGTGAATAAGATGATCACTAACACAATCATTATTTAACTGGAGGCACTAAATCACCACATTCTATGAATAATTACATACTGTAGTTAACATAGCATTTAAAACTTTGAGTCGTAACTGTAACTGTAATTGTATGTTATTATTATGTAAAGAATAAAGATATTATAGCAATTAAAGAGAACATATAGGCTACTAAACAAGATCTGAAGGCATTGGTTGACTTCATTTTTTGAAGTCATATTTCAAAAATATGCATTTTTTTCATATGTGACATTTTTTTCGATGTTTCAAAAGTGACACAAAACCATATACACTCACCGGCCACTTTATTAGGTACCCCATGCTAGTAACGGGTTGGACCCCCTTTTGCCTTCAGAACTGCCTCAATTCTTCGTGGCATAGATTCAACAAGGTGCTGGAAGCATTCCTCAGGGAGTTTGGTCCATATTGACATGATGGCATCACACAGTTGCCGCAGATTTGTCGGCTGCACATCCATGATGCGAATCTCCCGTTCCACCACATCCCAAAGATGCTCTATTGGGTTGAGATCTGGTGACTGTGGAGGCCATTTTAGTACAGTGAACTCATTGTCATGTTCAAGAAACCAATTTGAAATGATTAGAGCTTTGTGACATGGTGGAAGTAGCCATCAGAGGATGGGTACATGGTGGCCATAAAGGGATGGACATGGTCAGAAACAATGCTCAGGTAGGCCGTGGCATTTAAATGATGCCCAATTGGCACTAAGGGGCCTAAAGTGTGCCAGGAAAACATCCCCCACACCATTACACCACCACCACCAGCCTGCACAGTGGTAACAAGGCATGA